GAGCAGAATGGTAGTGTACCACGGAGGAATGTCCTCGAGAGCGTACACCAGATCACGGGCCGGCCTGGGCCGGCTCGCAGTTTTCTTCATCCCTGTCCGGCCACGCTCAGGGTTGGGAGAGGAGAGCTCCTCAGTATTGATCTCCTTGCCTTCGATGATGTTAGCCTTCAGATCATCAGTTTGCTGGGTACTACAGGTGTCGGCCATTTCAACTTCTGTTCCGTTCACGGCCATCGTGCCGTTACCAGCGTCGTGAATAAACAGGTCCAATTTCACAGAAAGCAAACCACATCCGTTGGGCCAATGTTGCCTTGACGCATTTTATATTGGGCAATAGGGGTTATGGCTGGGTCACCTAAACGCCTTTGGGTGCGCAGCCTTGGCGCTTGGTTGGTGACGTTACACAATTCTCCCATATAGGTGGCCCCAACGCTTAGCTTATGTGTCGATAGGGTTGTTAATAATTACAGAGTCGTGAATAAATACTGATAACATCGCAGATTGTGAGCACCTATTTGTCCAAAGTATATTTTTAGGCAGTGTTTGGGTACAGCGGTTTAGCGACGTTAGCCCAACAGTAGTGTCCAAATGAGTGACTTGAATACGCGCAGCGTTGACGTGTGGATGTAAATACAAGTCTTGCTGCCAAACGTTTGTATATACGTGTACATGTACTTGGTACATGTGTCTTAAAAAAATTCCATGCCCCGACTCATGACTTTTGACCATTTATCTCATGTATATTAGACCTTTTCTTGAATATGCCTCACCATCCTGGTCATCTGCTCTGACCATTCAACAATCTGACCAAAGTTAACGTATTCAAAGACGTTCATGTCGAATTATTCTAGGTTACAATCATTACTTCGAATACTCACTTGCCCTTGAAATCCTTAACATACCATCATTCAAACAACGGCGAAATCAAATATTAGACAAATTTGGCAGAACCTTAGTGCACTCAAGACACAGATCTTTACTCCCTCCACTTTGTAGTTCCTTACCAAATTTCCGCCCTCTTAGAAGCAGTCGTGGTCCCTGTAACCCAATTTGCCGTACTTCCAGAAACGAAAAGTCGGTACTCGCCCACATGGTCAAAATAATTAATGTCATTTAATCTTTTTATCCTTTTGGTTGACAATTTAACTTGCTCCTCCTAAGCGCAATATATGTGTTTGTTGTTAAGAAAAAAATCATGAACTGTTTAAAAGATACATATATATATGAGAGAACGTGACATCGTAAATTCCACGCTTAGGCCTAAACCTAACGTGGATTATCAACAAAAAGTAATTTTGGGAGGTTAAGTGATGAATTTTAATGTACACATTGATGTTTTAATGTGATTTTATGGGATATACACGTGAGATGAGACAAACACAACTTATGAATTCACTCAGGATTTAATTTGAACTGGACACAATTAATGTTTTGGCATTCAATTGGCTAGTTTTTATCACTTTACATTATAATAATCAAGGCTGCTTTGTGTCCGTGCAGGTGGATTTTGACAATTATAAGACATTTTAGCATAGGCCTATATGTTACTTGCAGATCGAATGAGGTTGACTTCAGTACCCCTTACCACTGTAATTGATACGATAAGGGGTGCGCTCACGAAAATAGGCCAGAAATATATCCCCCGAGCTTACGAATAAAAGTTACAGAATAAAAATATTCTATACTGGAGAGTCCTGAGAGCCATGGAATTGGGGAATTGAAGAAATATGGAACTGAACTTCTGGCCCGTACTCAGAGCTTCTAATTCTGACCAATTTGGATGCGATCGGGTCCAAAAGTGGCACTATTTAACCGTTTTGAAGAGGGATGCATTTTTAAAACGGCTACTTTTCCGGGCAGTGAAATTTCCTTCATTTTAGGGGTGGTCTGCTTTGGGTGTGAATTTCTCAAACATTCATCCGTCAACCCAATAAAAATTGAAAGGAAAATGGAAGAGGATATGTTGAGGGTTGTATTTTAAGAATAATTTTGAAATAAAGGGATTTATCATTGGAGGATATGAGAATTCATTTTTAGGAGTGCACCTTAGATTCATACCTGAATTATAGAGGGCGCTCTAACAATTTTTTTTTTTCACACAAACACAACCCGCTGTGGAAATTCGACCTGAGCAAAGGCTACAATCGTGGCTTTGGCGTTTTGTTTTTCAAAGCTTAATTAAAAACTACTTTCCTCTCAATACTGCCAATAAAACGCTTTCCCGTAGGAAAATACATGGTGTTTCTTTAGACGGTTGTGTGATTATCAAAAAGAAAAAAAACACCCCCCTGGCGTCACATGGTGCTGGGGCACTTTCATAATATAATACCCGTCGAAATGATACTCAGACTCTTTTTATTAATTAAAAAAACTGCATTGCAACTTTGCTTCTTAGGTGCTGATCTGTGGGTGAGTTTGAGGAAAATGTCAAGACAAAAAGGCAAAGTATCCAAGTAAAATAAAGATGTATTTAACTTACTGATTCAAAGACATTATCATTATTATTGAGGCTACGGATGATACTTCTAAATAGTGCTCATCTTCATTGCTGCTAATATTCTGAAAGCCTTTTTTGACATGTACAAACAATTTCGGTGCAAAATCTGTCACGTGAAAATTGAGAATAGCAGTCCAGAGTTGGAATAAAACGGATGTCGTATGCAATGCATGGCAACCTGGGGTCCTCACCATATACATGTACATTATACACAATATTAAGATCACCGATAATACAAAGTCATAATGTAAAGAAGGAAACTGTTTGGTCCCAAGTCTTTGTTTTTGTTTGTTTTGTGTTTCTAACAACACAAAGTACCTGCTACAGCAGGATAGTCTGCAATGTCCTTTGACCTCGTTATGAATATGATAGTGTTCCACACTGTACGACGTGAACGTGAATTAGCGCCTTCGATTACTTTTCTCACACTTGCCTGTGCTGTAGTCAAAGCTTCGGGTTGGTATGCACAATAAGAATTTACTCGAAGTGTATCAACCAGGTCAAGACGTTATACATCGATTAAATTTGAAAGAAGGGGGCAAAAATGAATCCGAATGGTTAAAATTAACAGACATCCAAACGGATATTTCATGTTGTTCTTTCACGGAACTTACTTGCAATACGACTTGAGCTGACTTTCCACTACCTTTGCTATTCTTCTGAATTATTTACATTGTATTCATTTGGACGGTTGCCACTAAAGACGCAGTCCCACAATAATGAAGATCAATGCCTTTGACTAAATTTGGCGAACAGCAAAATTAAAAGCCATAATGCGCGGCGTTCCTGAACGTAACTGATACGTGCGCGTTACATTTGACTGGGCAGCTAGCTTTTGTGCCTGCCATCGGTCTACTGGAATGCGTCTTTGAGGACTCGTCAAGTATGATTCAGCACATGCAGACGCACGAAACAAGGCTTGATCAGGAAAATTAAACAAGGGTTTTCTCTTATTAATATTGAACTAAATCAAAGTTCTCTAGGGTAAATATGCTCAAGCATTTGGTTTAAACATCTACCAGGACGAAGACGGCAAGAGAAAAATACGAGTTCGTTTTGGCATGGAAAGATCAGCTATTGGTCATTGTTGCCTTGAACTGTGGAAAGATTGCATTCTCAGCCAATCACGCTAAAACTTCAGACTACTTACTCTCACGTTAGCATATGGCTCGCAGTGGTCTTGTCCCAAGACTGGTTTTACTGTTATGGCCCGTGCACCGTGCAGGCGACATGCGCAAGCGAGCAGAAGCCTGAAAGTAAAAGGTCACGCAGCGGGCTTCCAGAACCCTTGCGCGGTCTGCCTTTGGGAATTTTACATTGGCCGTCCTATCACATTCGATAATTTTTGGAAGAATAATTCCTAACTGAAACCACCCCATGAAACATTTATGTTGGAATTTTACCTTTGTCTTCCTCGAGTAATATCTTGGAAAAGTCGCATTGCACTGTTCTTCATGTATTTTAGATTTTCGGAACTGATGGGTCATTTTTTTGTAGGATATTTCTCTTTTAGATCAGGTAATTTTTAAGTTTCTATAAATTGATAAAGTAGCAAATATTTTCCAAAGCCCTTTTCCGAGTCTGATTTTTTTAAGGAAGAAACTGAACGAAAAAATATTGCATATTCTAAAATCTTAGCACGTTTTTTTCCTATCCAAGGGTTCTGGAAGCGCGCTATCAGGGGTCAACTTTCAGGCTAGCATTGTAGTATACCAGTAGAGCGTGATATATTGCCCGCAGCAACACCTGAAGTTGAATGGCGGACACTGACTGGAGGAAAGAGGAGACTATTGGGCCTAGTTTGTTCGCCGGCTGCTGAATGTAGCATTTGCAACAAGAATAAAACGAAAGTCTTCGTGCACGTATATCTGAGCGTTCATCTTTTTGTGCACCACAGAAACGGGCATCAGTTGTGTTGACATGTCTGGTTTACTTTTTATTTAGTTGTCCGTGCTCTTCACTCATCGCCGACTGCCCCTTCCCGTTGTCCGCCGTCCGCAACAGACCAACTTGCTGATAGCCTGCAGGTAGAGCGGGTTGGCTATGGCGTAGCAGAAAGGATTCACGGTACTGTTCATGTGAGCGATGTACACACTGGACTGAAAGAGGGAACAATAGGGGCGATTCGCAAGAGTGCGCCACCAAGAGCCTGCAACGCGTTGGCCAATCACAATAAGCGAAATCTGTCGACCCAATGCGCGTTCAGAAAGGGTCGACAAATTTCACGCGTTGTGATTGGCCAATGCGTTGCAGACTCTTGGGGTGCACTATTGTGAATCGCCCGTATTGAGAAGTGTGAAAAAAACAAACTAGTGGGTATAGGCTGGCACCAGGGAACATTTTTTTTCAACGGGGAAAATTTGAACTGTACTCAGGTGAGTCTCTACAATAACTATCGCCAGGAAGGTGTGCAGTCCCTTAACTGCATGTATGGAGCAAGTTTTTATGTTCCTTGGGATTTTCAGAACTGCAAAAACAGGAAAAATGGTATGAAAAAATGAGACGACAGATTATACACTTACAGTTTGCAATGGTGATTAGGATCTTGGAGGAACAGATGTACGATAGGTGAACAAAAAATAAAATACAGAGAACATGTGCAAAAATCAACAAGAGACTATAATAGACATTAGGATGAAGAACAAACTGGTCATTGGCCATGGGGATGTGTTGGAACACATCAATACAAAATGTTGCCTTTAGGCTATAAAGACCCCATAAAAATAGCCACGGCGGAATCCGTCCTTAAAGATTTTCTGATATCGTCGCAGTGTGTTTTTCCGTACCAAACCTTTGCAAGTTTTTCCAGTCATTTTTTGGTCATTTTGACATGACTTTTTTGAAACACCATTTTTCTCTGAGAAGGGCTATGCAATTAATGTACTTTTCCCAATGAGTGCTCCATGCAAGTGAGCTGACCCGCGTGAACTGAATTAAAACTTGATAGGATGTGCTCATCATGATTGTCTTTGCATGAAGGATTGGGCATGGGGGGCAGATTCCCTCCGTCGATGAGATGGTCTGATAAGACAGTAATTTGAGAGGGTTGAATTGTGTTGCGCGACTTTATTGTAATTTTGTACATGCCACTGCAAAAGTTAACGTCTTAAACACACAAACAAAATGCAGAGGGCGTATTCAGATGTTAATTCATTATTTGATCAGTTTTGTGCCTCGAGTCATTTTTGTACTCACTTCCTTCTATTGTGCTATTTATCCACGAACTTTCAAGCCTGGAGTGCAATTGGGTCATTCTCAGTACGTCAGCGAAAAATTCGCGATTTTCTTGTTGCATGGTTGCATGGAAAAAAGCGTCTGTTTGCCTCATAAAACAATGATGTTTTAAATGATATTCATAAATACCTCAGACAATCTCCCCATTCCACAACGTATAACTTGACCGTGTATTAACATTTGATAGTGCCCACTGAGAAGTGATCATGCCCACTATGTAAATCACGCGCTAGCACCTGGATACTAGCAATGATCTTACCCTTCATCTTGTGCACGTACGCGTTTCATCGGTGAGGGTTTGAAATCGTCACACTAAACAGGCGCGCAGGCGGGGAAATTAGTCTCTCTGAAGAACGTGCTGCTCCAATTTCTCTCTCTTTTAAAAGTGATAACTGATAAAAAATTGTTCGGACTTGCACAGCCGTTGAATGGCCTCAGTCCGGACTGTCGATAACCGCGCAGCTGGACTTGCCTTTCAGTCGTAAGTTTCATTTTTAAAACAAAAATCATAACGACTGCAATACAGGCCTAACCAACAGTGACCAATGTCGGAAAGTGATTTTGAATACAATGTATATGTACTATACTTGGCATATAATGTAGTGGGAGTTTTATCTATTTGTTTATTGGTTGTCTAATCAAATTTTAGTAGGATCTTTTTATTGGAAACTATTCAGTTTAGGTATATGCCCTCAGTTTTTTCATTGACATCATTTGGTTTATTTGTTTATCTTTATTCATAGAATGCCAAGAAACAAACACTTGAGGACTGACGCGTATTCACTCAGCAAAGACAAATTTGTGGGAGCCATGATGCCATATTTGCTCGGAACACTGCATACAAGAGTGCGTCGATGATGAGGTCGTGTTAGGAGCAGTTCAAATAGGGTTTTATTGAATTACTTAATCTGTTTTTTAACGGGTATTATTGCTCATTTTTTATGAAACAAACTTTAAGTAAAGTTGTTTGATTTGGATTTTATGAGCAATGCTCAAAGCGTGGAGGATCAACTAAAAATCAAAGTGATCTTGCTGATGTGTAATGTCCTCAATTTTGCCCACATGTGAGATGGTTCGCTTGTTTGGTCAATTATGCCGATTAATGTGCATGCTCATTTAAGTTGTACGGAACTTGTAAGTAAAATACTGCTCTGTTTCCAGTCTCTCAGGATTCCGTTATTATTTCAGTATATTGTCAAACCTGGAAACATACATTTTATTTTGCAACAATTAGTTGGCGACGAAGCGATTTGAATATTACGAGAGAATTTCTCTAATGTATCAAATTCAAAGGTGTTTTATTTTATAGACCTGCAGTCTGTACTAAATTGAGTTGTATAAAGGGAAAGAACTCTTTGTACTTAGTGCAGTGTGCCTTTAGTTCGTCCAAGCGCTATTGACACGTATTGTTCGTTACATCTTACAGCTTTGCTTTTCGTTGCTTGTGAGAAAAAAATAATGAAAACAACGACACTCCACAATGAAATTCCTCTGTTTTCTGTCCTACTTCTGTAGTATTTTAAATTGTTTGCAAATGAGTTTATAGAAAACTATAATTGAAAAGGTCCTTGGCTCTTTCCATTATTTTGTAAACTTTAAGCCTAAATACTCAAATTGCACTTATTAACCGAGTAAATTCATTCAACTGCATTAATATAAAACATTTATCCGCAGGAAGTACATTAATTCACACATTTCCGGATTTTCAGAAATAATAGGAATCAAAACAGCTCAACGGATATTTCGACTAATACGAGCTCATTTGTGTCTGCAATTATATCTGTCGAAATTCAAATGGGAATAAATGGCAAATAATTCTTGATCGGTCTTAAAAGTACGTTTAAGACCGGCCAAGCACTCTCTCTGTCTGCCGTGAATTAAGGCAAGGTAATAGATTTCTCGTGTAGCAAAGGAAAAAACTGTATGATACGGCGGAGGTTATACTGCGAATACATACAAGTTCTACCGATTGAGCGCTTAAAACAGGTAGAAGGTACGCCAACACGATTTCTATTCATTATTTCTTCAGGTATGAGGACCTCACTTTTCAACGTGAAAGAAAGGTCGCTAATTTGAGTGTAACTTACGTTAACTAAAAACTCTCAATTCCGATGTTTTTCCTCCAAGCAAACTCGAACTTAATTTGGATTTTTTAACAAATTAATGGCTCTGGTATTTATTAAAAAACCTGGAATTTTTCCCTTAGAGAAGTAGGGGTTTGCCCCACATTGGCATTACTTAAAAATATTAAACTGACCGACCGTCCTTGTTCATTTCACTTAAATGCATTCCTTTATCAACATGGCCATGATGGCTATCACGTTGGTTGCAGGCCTCAAGGTTTATTTCATGTCCATAATTATGTTCACAAAAGTGTATCCGTATGAGTTGTTTCATCAAAAATTGACCTTGGTTTCGCTTGTTATCCTTCAAGATAATGTCATTGTATTTTTTTTTTAAAAAGTGTATCCATAATACGCGTATCGTTTCATCAATATGGCGTTAGCTTAATTTGATATCCATAAATTTACAGTAAAAAGGATATGGTGCAGCGAGAGGCGAGTTGCATGTGTATCTTTGTATCGCAAGTGCTGCGCGCTGCTTGTAATAAGTACGCCTCTTAAGTCGCTTTTAATAAGCCAGTTCGGTATTCCAACAGCACGTACATGGCCGTTTTCCAGTACTCAATTCGGCTCCGTCTCAGGCTTCAACTGTTTTTAACTAGCTGACTTTGAAGCTGTAAGCGTAGTTATTAGTCTAATAGTGCCACAAAACATCAAATAAGATGCAGGAGACCCAAAAATTACAGTAATCCAATTTAATTTAAAAGCTTCAGGCCCACAGTCGTGGATTGGTTTTGGAAACGAAGCCTGAGACGGAGACGAAGTTGAGTATTGGAAAAGGGCCTTGGTTCAGTACGACTCTGGCACACCAGTCTAAACTGAGACCCATATGAGCGACAACACACACAGAGGTATTTAGACTATTGGTGTCTCTGTTTGAATTTCGATTCGAGAAAACTTCGAAGTAGTGATTGCATAATGTAGCTTGTGATAAACAATTATAACACACCTTTTCATCAACATAAAATGTAAGATTTTAATTAGACTACAGGTTTTGCCTGTACATCAAAGTAGGCCTATATGTTATAAGTACATATTGAAATGAAATGAAAGACTCTGGCGTTATAGACAGTCCTGAAACAACGACGTCACGCTATTTTGACATATGCGTTTTCCTATGGGGACTCATGGGTAGGAAAGCACACAGGCTTACGTAAACAAGCGGTGATGTCATTATGTTATAGGGTTTTTTTGCTTACCTGATAGAGGACGAGAGGGATGCATTTGGGGCAAAGTGCATAGACGATGACGAGAATTGACCACGGCAGAGAAGATACGATGAGTACGACAAAGATCAGAGTCAATGTGCGAGTTGCCCGGTTGCTTTCATTGCGACTCTCACGACCCGTGCGCCTGATGCTCGACGATGCTGCCCGCGGTATTTTACCCTCTGCTTGTCTTTTGCTGCTCTGATGGGTCACCTGCTGGTCAATGGAGTCGAGAATCGGCAGCTGGCTTTTCCGGGTGTGCAGCTTCGGGGTGTCAGGGGCCAGGCTGGCCCGATTTTGTCCCGTAGAGTCTATCTGTGGTGCGTTCCCTGAGGTATCGCCGCTTTCTCCCTGGAAGTTGGGTTCGAACCCAGGGTTATCGTGGCCAAGCTCGGGATCTGCGATGTCTTGGTTGGTAGAGGGCGGGACTGTATTTGCCTGCTGCTTAGTTTTGCATGAGTTGCTGCTAGTTTCCAGTTCCTGCATCATGACGGGGCCTCTCTTCTGGGACGATCTCCTGCGGATGACAACATAGATGCGCCAGTACAGCACGGAGATAATTGGCGCCGGTATCCAGAAGAAACAGATCGGTGCAAGGATGGAGAAGGCCAGACTGTCCACCACGTACTGGGGGTAGCAGAAACCGTCCCTGATGCGACGGGCACCTGCGAAATACGGCCAGAGCAAACACCACGGCAGCCAGAGCGTGAAGGGGATGATGTAAAAAATAGAGATCATGAAACTAGCGTGGCGTAGCGTGCGCTTCTGGAGGTGCTTTAAGGGTTGGTAGACGGCTTGGTATCGGTCGACAGCAAGCACTAGGATGCCCAGTAAAGAGATGTGGATGAAAACATGGTTAATGTACATATAGATGTCGCAGAGAGCAGTGCCGAACGGCCAGAAACCCAATACCCAATAAACGGTGTATAGAGGCATGGTGAACGCACCGGCTACTAGGTCGGCAAACGAGAGTGCCACGATGAAATAGTTGATATAGGTGCGGAGGCGACGCTCGACGCAGAACGCAAAGAGCACGAGAAGGTTTCCCAAGACGGTAATGAATGAGAAGATACCACTGAGAACAGCAATGGTGACCTGGAAAGTGGTCAGCACGGTTTGTCCCCCGCTGTCCGTCTCGATAGCCTCAGTGACATCCATGATGCTGTACTCCGTGCCTTGGAAAGTGGAAAACCCCATTGGTATCGCTCGCGCTTAAGTTGTGGCGCCAGTTCCAATGTTCTAGTGATTTATATTAAGAGGGGGGAACAACCTTGACGTGAAAGCAAGCCTGTCGTTTTGCAGTGACGTTTCACAAAAGGACCTCTTCGGCTATTGGCTGGCTTCCAGCCTATAGGCGTTTAATAACCTACCTGCACACGTGAAAGGGAGCATTTAATTTCGTTCAATGCGCACGTAGCTCCAACGAATAAGTGCAAGCGTTGTAAAGTACAAAGCATTGTAAGTAGCTTTCGGAAAGTTTGATTTTTTCCCATATGTAAGGCCTACAGACCACATTTCTAGCATATATATATATATTTCGAAACAGGTGAGAGAATTTTGTATTATATTTGTCAATCCCCACCGCTGTAAAAGACTTCGTGCTTGGTTTTGGTCACGCTTTTCCAGCCTCAAGGTGACGGGGATTTTGTTCCCTCACGAACATCACAATACTAGTACCATGAAAATACCATGAAAAGGGTATCAGTGGAATTGCAAGGAAATCCTACTTTTACACACGGTATTTCCCCTTTGTCGTTTTTGGCAAAAAGGTTGAAATTTGTTCCCGAGGATAGTCACGTTAAAAGGATCATGGGCGATAACATTCCCACCACCGCTAGACAGGTGCGCCCCGTCAATACATGTTGAAGTTTGTTACATAAAATTTTTACCGAGGGTGGGGATTAGCCATGCACTTAAAGAGTTCATGTAGTGTGTTCTGAAAATCGAAAGTCATCGGGTCTGGTATCCAGACGGAGTCTTGGGCCGTTTTCCAATACTCAACTTCATGTCCGTCTCAGGCTTCGTTCCCAAAACCAATCCCCGATTGTGGGCCTGAATCGTTTACAATTAAATTGGGTTACTGTAATTCAAAGTCAGCTAGTAAACCAAAAAACAGTTGAAGCCTGCGACGGAGCCGAAGTTGAGTATTGGAAACGGCCAAGATCTTTGCCAATACGGGCAATTCACAATAGCGCGCCACCAAGAGTTTGCAATGCGTTGGCCATCAAACAAAATCCCATAAATTTTCTACCATTAAATCTTCAGGAAAAAAATGTAATCAACTTGATACCAAGGGTCTATAGTACTCTCCCTGCACAGAAAAAAAACAAACAAGCAAACAAGTGTTGAGTCTGCGTGAGCGACGTACTTCATTTTGCCGGCAGAGGAGACTGACAAATTAATACAGTACCCTGCACGGCTGGTGTGTATTCATGATGAATGTGGCGCTCCCTAGTCTGACCTAAATCAGACGAATGAAGTACCAATTATATCATGTATCTTTGCGTGGTAAATGTAGGGCCTACATGACTGACTTACTAAATGAACTGATGGCAAGGAAAGAACGAATTTCGGGCGTAGGGAAGATTTGAATCGAACAGTCAAAACTAAAGTGGTGATCTTGTAGCAGATAAAGCATTTTTTCTTAAAACTATCAGCATTATTTTTGGTAGTTCTTTGACCCAAATACAACCTGACTACATACGTTTATTCGGCGGTTCGAGCCAGATCAGAAGAACTAGAGAGCACAGCCTGCATGTGACATTCTTACAGCCCAACATGTGGATAACAATTTCACCGTAGTTAGTAAGTTAAGCCTAGATGTGGGTCTCTTTACGGCAAACAGTGTAGGTTTTTCCTTTCATCAACACGCGTTCAAATTCATGTACGTTTTTCCATTTTGTTCATATTCAGATTTATTTTTTCACTTGTGTAAACGAGTTTTCGTTAGTCATTTTCTTTCGTCATGGACATTCAAATCTCAGTTTTTCACCGGGCGTAAGTTAAATTTCAAATGGCTTTGGCTAATGATATAGTACAATCACATTAATATTCATCAGCACGAAGGATTTTAATCTATTACAGATATTCCAAAGTGAAACACTCATTTAATTTCACTTACAAATTTTATTATATCTCGTTAATTTATATACATACTCTCCATTTTATATTTATTTCAGCGGTTTCGTCAGTTTTACTTATTCATATTTATATGTTAGTAGAAACGAATAATTTCTCATTTGTCTTTGTGTTTTCTTTTTAAAATTAAATTTTTCAAATCGAAATTTTTCACCACGTGTACCTTAAATTTGCCATGACTTTTTTGTATTGGTGCAATCAAGATTCATCAAAGCGCAATTTAATTTCAGTTTAACCTGTTTCAAATCTTCCTCTGTAATATTTAACAATTTTTAAAAAATACCACAACAATGATAATTCACGAATAATTTTACAGAACAGATTAACTGTTTGAAACTTACCTATCAGTACTTCCCATTAATGCAGGTATTTCCCAAATGAAATAATTTCCTACGTACGTAACCGAGGGATTCCGCTAATTAACCATGTAATTCAAAGGTTGTAAACATGGTCTTCATTAACTTTGAAGAGACAGTGAACGGTAGCTCCCGCATTAGCAGCTCGCTAAACTTGGTTGGTGGTGGTGTAAAAACTTCCAAACTCCGTATCGATAGCATTTCATAACTTGAATCTAGCATATTTCCGCATGTAACTTACACATAATTATAAATCCATTTGGACTTGACGGTAACGAAGAGATGGTGCCGGCTGCATGCTCGCTTTGTGACGTAATACCGGTATGCACGCACGGTGCAAAATATGAATAAAAAAAAGAAAGAAAAAAGTTGTGCACCCAGCCGAAAAGTTACTCAAAGGCTCGTTGGGAGAGGAGTAAAGCTTTTATTTATATGCAGATTGCATAGCTAGCCAACACTGGACAGTGAATGATTCATCTCACGACGCAAAGCATTGATAAAATCTTTTTGTTCTATTGCACAATGGACAATAGTGCAGGAAGAGACATGGTTTAAGTTGGAGAAACGATACAAAGGGTGGAGATTCAGCCGAAAAAAAAAAGAGTCACGAGGCAACCTATGTTAAAGAGAATATTGAGTGTAAGGATGTTGAAATTGCTGGTTGATTAAATTGAATTCTTGATGAACCTTTTCCTCAGGCTTTTAATTTGAATGATCGAAAGGACTTTTTGTATTTGAATGAATGACCCTTCGAAAAGCGAAATCGAATGACATTCAATGTAACTATGTTCGAATGCCGATGTGCTACATTCAATTTCGGGCCTTGCATTGAACTGAATTTTTGTATTTGAATGAATGACCCCTCGAAAAGCGAAATCGATGACATTCAATGTAACTATGCTCGAATGCCGATGTGCGACATTCAATTTCGGGCCTTGCATTGAACTGAATTTTTGTATTTGAATGAATGACCCCTCGAAAAGCGAAATCGATGACATTCAATGTAACTATGCTCGAATGCCGATGTGCGACATTCAATTTCTGGCCTTGCATTGAACTGAATTTTGTGAAGGGGAAAACTCACCAAAATAAGGTAGATCTTTAAGCTCTAGAGAAGGCTTTATCAAATTTAAACGGGGATTTCAAGTCGTTCCAAGAACGCGTTAACGGTTGCCAGGGTGATTTGGCATACGCAGGAGGGCGTACTCCAGATTACAATATACTGGAGGTGTCACTATTTCGGTTATCCAACTATTCGAGGGCGAATGGGTAGGGGAGGCCCCACCCTCCCCCAGCAAACGTTACAAATTTTTGTTAAATAATAAGAGAAAGGTGCTTTTGGTGTCATTTACTTCCCGTGTTTCCCAATGCGTCGAAAAAGGTACCAAAATGTAGCCTCAGCACTCAGTCCACTAAAGATTACACAAAAATTTCAAATATTTGTACATCCCCCAAATGTTGGTTCTAGATCCGCTTGGTTGGATTCAAGGCAGGTAGGAAGTGTTTTCAAAATGACAAGAAAAAGTTCCAATTCAACAGAAGAAAATCGAGGACACAGTGAATACATGTATTTGCAAATCATTAACTTCTAAAGACTCGAAGGTTCTCGAATATTCTGCCTTGGTTGATACCAAAATAATGACAGGTAAAATTCACAACAGAATCGCAAAAACAGCAACTGCCAAATGACGGAATAACACGTCCGAAAAACGTGGGTTACACGCCCATTCGGTGTCTGCTTTTTAATGGGACACTCCATAGAAACACGACAGAAAGGGAATGTTATATACCAAACTGATGCACAACACAAGGCGATTCTGCTTCTACCAAAAAAAAAAACAAAAACAAAAAAAAAAAAACACGCTAAAACTAAAGGGCTGAGATGATTCTCTGGGTTTTTGCTCACACCAAACAACCTCCAAATTGACTTTGGAGACTGCTAACCAGAAAACAACTTACACTTGAATCGGTTGTGCAACTCCATCAACGTATCTTTGTTTTTTAAAGCTCAAATTAAAGTTATTCGTGTAAAAGTGTCTAAACTAAAAATGACATCATCTTCGTCGAACGATGCTGCTAATCGGGGCAGATAGTAACAGTAATAGAGAGTATTTCAAATAAGAGTAAGTGATTAATGTGCAAAAGTAATGACTAGCAAATAACAGCGTGATTATAAGATATGTATGCAAAATTGCACTGCGCTTAACGGAAAAAGGCGGAGTCCAAGACATCAAAGATTAAGCCCTGACCAACAAACTCCAACATTTTCAAACGGCTTCAGAAACGGACTCGAGTACTCGCTAGTAGAATAGAATACAATTATAACATTACTGACATTTGAAAAATTAAAGAATATGTTTTATACTTGTTTACATAGTCTACTGCACATAATTAATCAATCTGCTTGGCCTGTTGTGACGATTACACTTAACTGATTTTGAATTTTTCCATTTGTCAACAACTACGATCTAAATTTCAAACAGTTTCGCAAAGAGACTACGCAACGTCTAAGACCACTCAATTTAATAATTACAATATGTCTGCTTTCAATCACAGACGCGCCAAATAGGAACACCAAACATGTAGCAATGAATCAGAATACAAATTGCTTGAGATTCCGGTACGACGACAGACCTCTGAAGCGTCACTTTAAAAATCTACCCAGCTATTACTGCCGAACTACCTACATGAACAGCTTAATAATTGAAGACAGTTTCTTTAAAATTTATTGTTGTAAGGCAGGCAACAGAAACGGGTGAATAAAACCTTGTGGCACTTTCAGGCGCAAACCACAAAAGGGAAAAGAAATGAATGAAATCCAAAACGTGAATCAAACCGAGAAAAACAAAATCCAGTCTTTCCTCTGCTGTGATTTTTGGCTACAATGTCATAATTATTGATCAACACTAACCTACGATCGGTGTGTTTCACACAAGCCTCACACATTCCATGAGCGTTATTTCACAGTATGAACAAGCGTTATGGCGGTGCCTTTAATAGACAGAGCTGCTTATAGAGAGTTGCAAAATGAGTGTCTCAGTCGTTGGAACCAAAATGGTGCATTATGTGTCAGTGAATATGGACAATTAGTACACGACACCAGACAACTGCACCGCAAACATAATGAACAGCCATGTTGGTTCCAGTCTGAAGTTGGTACTACTCTCCCTATACACAGCTCTAGCCTGTACAACCTCCCCCTTCATTAAATATCACAATTCTTAGTATTCTCGCGGCACCAAAGCTATCTTATCAGCCTACAACTGTTAAACCAGGAACTGACACTTGGGTAGAGGAGGACAAAAAGCCCCAGATCTGGAGTATCTTGCTTTACAGATATCATCATTAACCTTTGAGTGTAAACGCTTCTTCAGGTTACATGTGTCTACGACAACAGTAAAAATCACAACTCGGTTCACGTGCAGTCTTCCTTATATTCAAAACATCTGCACTTTCACCTGTTTGGGAACAGTGACTGGTGTATGGAAATGATCTCGGGGGAAAAAACATTGGCCCCTCTGTCTCCTGAAAAATTTGTATGAAATTCGTTCAAAGTTTACGACTCAATAGAATGCTCGTACTAGTACTACCAACTACTACTTGAGAGAGACAATGAAACGACTGACAAACGCGCATTCCCACACACTCTCGGGTTCAGCTTTTGGTTTTTACACACAAGCACAACAGTAATTGAATTAGCAAAATTTTACAAGTACTACGATTTTCTTGTATCAAGGAAATACAACGTTTAAATTCACAAGTTATCTAAACAGGTTCATTTATCACCGGGGTGATTTCTTTTTTTTCCCCAAAAAGTCCCTTTTTCTATTTCAAATTCATTCTTACATTTCCAATGAAACGGTAAACAAAATGGAAAACAAAAACAAATTTCATATCTAAAAACTACAACTTGGCGAATGCAGTTGTCTCAAAAGCCGATTTACATATTCTCAGTTCAATAACCTTCCCCGTCAGCTCACAATCACAGTACTTGCTTCAGAATACCAACATATGCAACATGAATGTCACCTTTCCGCTTGGAGCTATTACAGTACTAATACAGAATGCTTTTCAGAAAAGCTTTGTCCAATCGTCACCGCCCACCTTAATGCTTAAGCTGTTCTTGTTATAAAGGCTGATTTTCTTAAAACACGAATAATCACAACACTGCTGTCTGCCTTGACAGGTTAATGATTTGCTTTCCAGACAACCTTTTTCTCGTAAGGTTTGCGTTAAAGTCCTCAAGACAACAGTCATTTTCCAAGCCACACAAGTTGACAGATTGGAACGTCCGTTAGGATAAAAACAAACAAGGAAATGAAAAAGAAGTTTACTGTAAATCATGACTGAATGCTGCTTATCTACGAAATGTCAGCCGCAGATGCTGGGCAGACAAACAAGAACCGTCTCAATCAGTTTCCTCCCTTATCTGGAGCTCGACAACGCCCTTCCCTTCACGCCTCTGAAATGAGAAACATCCAGTTGATATCGTATTAGTAATGAAGATTTTGATTGGCAATGAAATTCAAAGCAATGGCTGGATATGGGCAAATACAAATTCTTTCTATGAAATGATTACCCCCTCCCCCGAGAGAAAAAAAAATCACACTTGGGCAAGTTTGCAATATAGGGAAAATGTCAATGTGGCAAAAAATTACCATGGCCTCAAAAGTTCACCCTTTCAAGTTTCTGACTGGGCAAAAAATTCCAATCTCGGAAAAATTCTCAGAGGATGTCACTTTGCCCAGATAAAATACATGCACCCATCCGGAAAATTCTACGCTGGTCATGCAATTCAGCGATGTCCTTTGGGCAGGAACAATGCTTCTCAATGCCAACGTTGAAAGAATGGACGTAAGACCCCTGTATTACTCACTTCAACAAGCACACACCACCAATTTTGGAAAATGGAGATTGACTGGTCACTTGTAATTGACGGCAACTGAACGGATGAAATCATTTGGTAACAATTAAAATGCCCAGGAGACGACAGCCATTGGGTGAGTGGAATGCATGAATGGTTTCTGACCAGTTTCAATCGTACTAGAGACAGTAATGGATGTTTCCAATTATTTAACACTCAACTGGACTGCTGGAGAAAAGAATGAAACTATTCCCAGCTGGTACTTGGTTTTTTTTTTTGTTGGTTTCATCCTGCTACAATCTTGGTTTCTGTTTGGTATCGATGTCGAAGAGGGGACGTGCAGAAAATGCAAGGAAATTAACTGATCTCAGGGAAAGTTGCACGCTTGATTGAAGCTATGCATCTACAGGGCTTGTTACAGAGCGAGCTGGCCAAGCGGGATAAACGGTACGTCAGCGAAGTTAGTTCCTGCTACACCTATTGGTTATTTTCAAGGATGCGCTTGGAGACGTGACTGGATTCTACAAAATGAGTCTTGAGGTCATTTCTCTCAGTAACTATATGTATTTTTTTAAAATTTGGATCAGAAAGTGCAAACTGAGCTCTGTTTTGATGTGTCACTCGGTTTGTCATGCTGGTGAAGATGAACTCTGTGCCTATTGATTTCCATTGTGCAAGATTCTTTTCCAGGCCTGTCACTCACAAGAGGCTCTGCCACATCATTATTATATGACTCAATTTGTTAGATTGGGTATCAGTCATACCTAGCACTATTCTATGCCATTTGTTCCTTCAGTACTTCAACATAATTAAACAGTATTGTAACTAAATGTCTTTCCATCCATCACGAACTTCAAACTTGATCATTTTATCTTTCAATTTTTTTCTTATCAAACTGATTGTTTTATTCTCCTCCAACAGTTTGGTATCCAACTTGACTATGCCACTATTTAAAGAATTCCCTTTGGTCTAATATTCATTCACTATGTAGCACTCATGGGTCTTCCCTAATAGTAACTACTCATGAACATGGAACTACATAACCAAACCTGTCCAATTTGGTTCCTACTGCCCTGTTGCAAGATGGTGACAGTGAATGAACACTTGCTCCCAGCTAAGAGTGATTGTCAATGCAATTGCCATTTTACTGCAGAATACTGAGGTTTCTCTCTGTTCAATTTTAATTGATTAAAACGAAAACAGAGAAACATTCTAAGACCCCTGACTGTGCAGACAATGTCATCCGAGCACAATGATGCAGCTTTAATCAAATAACTGGAATCGTTGAATTCAAGAAACTAAACCTAGCTAAAGGAACAGGCACTTTGGGAAACTCTCAGCAGAACAGATAAAGGAGAACCGAATTAATGTGAAAAGGTACTTTGCTGAATGGAAATAGCTACTAGCTATTCTTCAATCATGAGCAGTCTCACTGCCTCGTTTCAAAACTATTTCAGAATTAATCAGTCCCTCCGGGATGAGATCACGACATATTGCGACAGTTCCTCTCCAACTTCTATTAACTACAGCAATCTTGACCCCCAAACCCCAAAGCAGAGATCTCTGAGCCCATATATGATTGTCACGACAAACTGTACACTTTAGAGAAGTCCTTCAGGAATTTTGCTTTTTTGGGGCCAACTAGCAGAAATCACATGCCTCTGATGAAGCCTCTATCTCTTTGGTGTTACATACTTCGTCCAAAGAGTTAAAAAAAAAAAGTCACAGTGAACCTCTTTCACAATCCTTGAATCAAGACTACTCTGCATGCATTGTTCACTGTGTCTTCTATCAGGACTACATGTAATTTGTACCAACATGGATGGTTTCATTGTGAAGGTCCTTCAGTGTTAATCACAGTCACACCTGCAGGAACTTGCCAGGAGTAGAGCCAAAGGGAAGTGCCCATGGGTAAACTGGAGGCCATAAAGGGGAACTTAAAGGCTTCACACTGGGGGGACCAAGGACCTTAGGGAAACTGTGTAAGGTGCCTCCCAAGAGTTAGGCAGCCACAGGCTGCAAGGGGCATGTTGGGTTAAATTAACAAAGTTCTGTTGAGGGGAAAGGTGAGATAGGAGTGATGGAAAGAGGCATTCACAACTGAAATTGCCCGAGACCATTTTTACAGACATCTTCAGCAGCCAGACAACAGTGGAATACTGTTTTCCAGGGTGGCCTTTACTTAATACTGTAGCCACATAAGGCTTTTAAAATTCAATTCATGTATGACAACGGCTTGCCTCAATTTAGGGGAATCCAAAACTACGCTAATTACTGAGGTGGCCACTGAATCTGTGCAAACTGACAACTGCTCAGAGCCCTGGAATAAACCTACATGACTTTTGGCTTCTTTTGCTAAGGCAGAAAAGGCAGTTTTTTGATCATGTTTATGATTACAGTAAGTTAATGTTAGACTTACGTTGCTACAGTGTCACAGGTGCAAAGACAAGCAAGAAAAATTAGAGATTAATTAGTATCCAATATATCACATAAAAATTAGTGTGTTAAATATTCATAAGGACATGCATGAAATGGGAATATTAATTAGCACAATTAGAATAACATTCAAAAGCCTTCGACTTCAAATCTGCACATTTTGGGCCTCCAAAATAAAGCAAATAATTATGACAAATAATTTTCAACAAGACCAATTTCTTTTAAATAAACGACAACAACAAAGAACTGAAAATACGGCATACGGATAGATTAATAAATCATCGCTGTCAAGTTAGTTACGTACCTTTGGTCAAAATCAACACAAAATGGAAGCCAAAAGATGAGGTACATTGGTAGGGTGGCGAGGAATAACTGTCAGGCAGGACTTCAAAGTTATTTCATCCCAAAGGGGGGGGGATTGGCACTTTAGCACAGTTTCATTTTTCACAGTGTGTCAAATGGGACCCATTTAATAAATGTGCCACATGCAATTATGGAAAAAAAAAGATGAACAAGGCTGTGACATAATCAACCTGTTCTTCTGGCCGTGTATGTGAAAGCTCAATTTAATAAGTGAGTCACATGCAATTTTGGTAAAAAGTGTACAATGTTGAGACGTAAACCTGTAGGCATACTATGTAGAATTGGTGAAAGATTACAGAAGGATAAGTTGTCACTCTAGGGATGAACAATTCATCAAACATTGACTAAATAAAATAAATGAGTCTTCACGAGGTGCCATGGTCAAACTAAAGTGAAGCGCTCACAGAGTTAATACATGATGAAAAATTAATCAATTAAACATCTGGATTTTGCACGACAATCTTCAGGCAACTCATTTCACAGTTTAAAGATCATCTGCAAAAATATGAATCTCACGACACAAAGCTCTGAGACAGATCATTTAGAGTTAAGAGATTAGACACAACTAAAATATCACTTTCTTCCAAATCTATGCCTTCAAATTCAACAGAAATTAAGAAATCTGTGAAAAAGAAATGGACAAAACTTTAAGCAATCCAGACCAGATGTGGGCAGCAGTGCATCAACAGCAGAAACGAGCTTCAGTGTTTTTACATTTTATACAGGTAGAGCAATAAGACTTTCTGGCCTTCTACAATAAATACCTGAGCCATTCTACACAAACTGAAACAAACCAAAGGGCACTGTGAACAAAACTGGTGCTCCGCGTACATACCACCATGTCAAAATTAGGCATCCCAAGTTATTAGAGAGTTGGTCAGTTTTCGAAACTGGAGAAGGGCCGTAAAACTCATGCGAAGCAAGCGGAATGAAATGATATCTCTACACTCTACCCATCACACCATGCTGCACACTAACACTAACAAAAAAGTCTTAATGGACAACTGACCAATTTTCTGATTGCCCTCTTCCGTTGGTCTTCAAAATGGAATTTTTCTGGACATTAAGGACAGAATTCTCCCCAGAAGCACACAATTCAAAAAAGGCCATTTGAAATAAACAGATTTCTGAAAGATGGGCAAGGGTTTCAAAGCATTTTTTTAATGTTTAATGAGGTAAGTGTTGACGAACATTCAAGAAATTGCAAAGGATGAAAGAATGCTAAGTTCAACTTTCAACGGTCTGTAAATGCCGCTACGAAGGTTAAAAACTTCCATTTTATGGAGGGCACAACGGATAGGAAAACAAGCCAAGAACACAGTCACTCTGACATAAGACTGTGCTGACATAAAAAGGTCTATCCAACGATGAGCTTCTTTAGAAAGTTGGCTAGGAAGAGGGGACAATTTGAGCCAAGGGGCTAGAGAATTGTGGTGGTTGTCAATTAAGACTTCATAGCCTGCTACCCCAAACCAAGCGAAGCACAAACAAATGCACACACATACCATCTGGAGGCTCTGGAGGCACACAAGCAAGATTGGGTCTAGGTTCTAGGCTATCTCTATCTGATTTCACACCAATTGTCCACGCTGGTTTTTGTGTAAACTATGTTAATTTCTATACACCTTGCGGCACCAACTTAAGATAACAAATGAACAACCTCATTTTAAAAACATTACAAACAATGGATCAGACCTCAAAAACACTCACACCTTTTGATCCTCCAAATTTCTTTGACAATAATACTTGGAATTTTCCAATGATCTGCCATCAAAGCAAAATCAGATAATGAGGACTTTATGAAATCAGACTTCAACAGCCTAGTTGAGAAAAAAACACTCCAGTGTTTTATACTTAAGTTTGAATGACGCGGAATGAGACGCCAACTCAGTCAACTACCAAGCAGCATTGGACGCATTATAAGCTACTAGTACTAAAACAGCACAATGGGCTTGACAAGTCAACCAAAAAGGACTTATAAAAATCCCACATGGATGATCACAGTGAGAATTTGGTGACATCAGATTCATTCTTGAAAAAATTGGGACTTCAAAAAGACCAGGTTTTCCTTTATTTTTCCTTCAATTATGATAGTTCTGAAAGATCAATTCCTTTGAATCATAGTCCCAGATGTACAAGTAATTTGGTACGTCACATGTTAATGCAACACACTGCAATGTGAGCATTCCCCCTCCTGCTTCAAACTGGGGTGGTGGTCAAAGCAATGAAATCTTCTAAACTTATTCCCCCTTCCAAAAAAAGAAAAAAAAAAGAACACAAAAAGAAAATGATACAGAAAACTAGGGTGGTTTTTAACAAGCCCAAGCGCTGGTGTTAACTACTTCTTTCTGTTAAAACTATATGCATTCTCAAACTACTTTTTAAAATACTCACTCTACAATAATCAAACTGTTATCTGCGAAGCTACAGTTCTTTGATTGGCTGCGTCAAGAAACTTAAGTATAAAAATAAAAAAAAAAAGAAATCACCCGTCGAGTGTCCTCCCCCACCAAACCTGGAGAAGAAAGGAGGGGGAGGAGTTGGGAAGAAGGGGCGGGAGCCGGGAGGGGATCTCTACAGGCTAACCTCGTCAGCTGCGTGGTTTACCTCGGCCGACGCGTCCCCGGAGTGCACCTCACCGGCTGCTGATAAACACGGGATAATAACAACCAAGGCTACGCATGATGTCGTCCAGAAAAAAAACACACGCACACATCACAGACAGCACAGCCACGAAGAGACGAACAAACAGACAGCCTGACCAACTGACAGATGATATGCAGGACCTCTTGACAAATTATAGTCTTCAGTGTGGGTCCCAATTCTTGTTCAACTGAGAGCCTGGAATCTTTTTACTCTAGTCTGAACCAGGCAGAAAGTCAGGAAATGTATACAACTTCTGGGCACTTGAGCTCCACAGTCCTTCTGTGGCCGTGCTTGTGTGTCTCACACCAAGGTGCATGCCCATTCAAATGAAATTCATTGTTTATTTATCACAAACAGGTATGTACAGAATTTATTATTTCTTTTTTCCTGTGAGTTGAGCAACAGAGTTCTTTGGCACTTGGCACTCCGTCTACAAAATCAGGGTTACCTGATGTATCTGCCATGTGAAATATCCATTTAATGAAGCTTGTCTGAAGAGCAGAGAAATCCGTGCAAATGTGTCAGTATGGCTGATTTTGACCAAAGCCAAGAGATCTTGCTCGAGCAGTGAACGAAAGATATTTTATTCCAGCCTTTGACTGTTGGATTCAAATAGGTCTATAGATATTTGAATAGATAAAGAGGCATCAATTAAATGCAAAAACTGCCCAGATTTCAGAAAGCAGAATGCTGCTCAGTCCGTCAGGATGTTCTAAGTTGGTCCAATGATGATTAACTAACTAAAAAAAAAGGCCTACCCTCGATCCTCATCAACTATAATTTGTCAAATTGTCCACTTTCAAACAAACTCAGACTTGTACACACACACGCACCACCACGAAGCATTTTAATCCAATTAATAACGTACAAAGTTCAATCCCCACTAACATGGAAGTACTGGGAAAAAAAAGAAGAGAGAACATTGGCAGCAAGGCAATGAGCAAAAGTAGAGGGGGGAAGATGATTTCTGTTCCAAAAAGTTCTCAAAACCACTAAAAAATAAAGCCTTTCAAGCACTCAATGCTGACTTGAAGGAGATCTACTTGTATTTGTAGTTGGTATCTCCAGCAGGACACTTGGTGGTCACTTTTGAAATATTACAGCATTGACTGTGAACATTAGACAATATCTACGGGTTGCTGGCAACCTTTGATTCAGGGTACCAGCACTGACAGCTATTGGTCAAAGTGCACCTTTTGGCCCTAGACCCTGGATATCCCAAGGCAGCATGGTAGGTACTCCAAATATGTTGACTGTCATAACCAAATTGTTTGCTTAACATAGACCGTATCACCAAGGATGCCACGTCTGCTTGTTAGGCAAGACAACCATTCTAGTATTTTTTGTTCATTGCTCTCCCCAATACAGTACAAAATCAGTTCAGAAATTTAAAAATCCATTCAAAATGCTACTTATTCAGTGAGAGAGTGGACTTGCTTTTTTTCCCCAGGGGAAAGTTGAGATCATGTTACTGCTTCATGCAATGTTGTGAAAGGGTGTGAAAAAAGCCTAGATGGAATTGACAGGGTTAATGACTGCATGGAAACTAAGGCTAAACATGGCAGCGAACACAATCTAGATTTCTTATGCAGCATACAAATTTACAGGCTACACAATTTCCTCTTTGATTATAACTCTCTACGTGACCGTGAATGAGCAGTCATGTTATACACTACAGCATAAAGCCTACTGCCAAGTAGCTCTGTGGAAGCTTCATGCACTGCTTTCTGCAGGTCTGTGAATGCTCTCATCCAGTTTGTTTCTTGCAGCTTCCTGAGTGAACCTACACTGCAACAGTAAACTCTTCATGAGTGACCCCAACCCTCAGTGACTTGACACGGAAGGCTGGTATGCGCAATCTCTGGACCCATTCTAGTGAATGGCCCCGACAGAAAAAAAATTCTGCTCAAATTCTCTGGACTGCAACTATCAATACATCGTCACAGATGAGAATGTTATAAGAGAGTCACAAGCAGCTTGCTGACACAGAGCTTACTCTGGTTCGTGTGGTATGGCATCCTAGAATTTTATATTGTATGATAATTGTAACGGAGGTGTTGAAGGATACTCCTTCTGAATCAGGAACCAAAAGAATGCAAGAAACAGAAACACACACAAAAAGACCAAACCCAAACAAAAACTTGCCTATATGACTTAACGTCAATTAACATGCATTGTGTTCGCTCCTACCATAATATCTGACCCTGTGATATCTAATAGGCTGTGAATACAAGGCTACAGAAATATTATCTTGTATTTTGAGCTCGGGCAATGAGCAGGTACCAGCGTGGTGGCAACTCTGAAATGGTCGAGGAACTAAGATGAGAGGAATGAGACATTGATCTGCTGCGGTAGTAGAAAATGACAAAAAACGACCTACAATTGTTGGTTAGATCAACGTGACACATGCTATAAAATGGTTAGCAAAACTGCCAAATCCAATTTGAGGACAAAGAACACTACCGTAACTCCTCCCCAACAAAGGAACATCAGGGAAAATTGGTCTCATTTTCTAAATGATGAGTCTACACATTCCTGACAGTAACCTAGCCACCTACAGCAATGGTAAATGATCTTGGCTTTGTGTGGGTGGGTGAGTGTGTCTTTACTTTTCCCCAGATAACAGTAATCTTTTAATTTCATCATGGTGGCCATGGCCTGACAGGATCGTCAAATAATCCCTCATCCTTCATTCAATATCCTGCCATCCCAGTGACTCAATCTCTTGGGGAATTTCAAAGCAATAACAACATGATGCGACAAACATTGCTAATTAACGGTTGATGGTACAGACTTTAATGAAAGCCTGGTTATTCAGTCTTGGTCAGTACATTCTAACTGCAAGCTAACTGGCTGCACCCCTGGGGAGCCTTTGGCACAATTATTGAGTCCAGAGCTGCATATAGATAGAGTAGTGCCAACTTCAGGCTTTGGAACTAAAATGGCTGTTCATTATGTGTGAAGTAAAGCAAGCAGCATTTGTATGCTGATGCGTAATCTACCATTTTAGGTTCCAACGATTGAGACACTCCTGTTGCAACTCTCTTTATAAACAGCTCTGATCGAGTCTGTTTACAATTCATGAAGAACAATAGTTTTGCATGGCAATTTGGCACTTAAGACTTTTAAATTCTGATTCAATTCATCAATTGAGCTTTCTAACGTGTCCCTATCTCTCATTTGGTGGCAAATCGTTTCCTTGGGAATAAATAATTAGTGAGGAAAAAGGTCCTACCAACTTCCTTGGTTTATTGAAGCAAATATCACTAGTGTCGCTTTTTGCACAGTCTGTGACACTGTACCAAAATGGAGACTTAAAGAGTCCTGTTTCAAATTGTCAACACTCGCCATCTAGAATTTTGTGACTGTGACATTGCATGGTCGTGACAGATTTGTATTGGTAATTTTTTCAACCAAAATGGAAGACAGGAAGTGCATACAAAGAAATAAGGACAACCATCAGTTTCAAACTCCTTTGATATGAAGTTGGTAGCAAACATATACACTATTTCATAGCACATAATCTGACTACTAACAAATGACCTAGTAACCCTCTCCCCTCATAAAGGTCCTTGGTCCCCTTGGAACATGTGACAAAAACTCTTTTTGACAAGGACCTTTGACCTAATGGAACCTACATGTACATGAACAATGCTTGTGTATAACTTGTCTGGGCATTTTTAGGGGCTAGGATCTATCTTGATTCCACCTAATCCAATGTACAATATATCGTCAGCTCAGTGCCTTTAGGTACTTACTGCAATCGTGACATATTTCAAAAATAGGCTTAGGGCCTTCTTCCGAAAATAAAAGAACTTTTTTGGTGAAACAGATTGCCTTCCAAACGGTTTTATTTTCAGAATTATTTTTTTTTACTAATACATTTAATTTACATTTCTTTTAATTCTTCAAGGATCCCAAGACAGGGGGGTTCGAGGACATTTTTCTCCCAGGAAATTTGTAAAAAGGACATCAAATCCTGCAATCGGGTGCATTTTAAATGTCCCCCAAAGACAAATCCAAAACTAGTGAGAATCTTGGGATAACTTTCAAGGATTTTTTCGTAGAAAAGGAGGGTTCATTCAAAGCCACCACCATACACTACTGATAAGTTGTAATCTTGCCAATAACAAGTCAAATCTTGAGCAAAATCAAATGGACGACGACGAAGAAATGCCAGTATCACAGCTCATATAAACTAAACTTCAGTGTGAATAACTTGCAGGTGGTTATGATATCTAAAATATGTGGTTTTGAAAGGTAAGGATTACAGAATAAAAATTGTGATTGGGCTTCACACTGCCGTCAATGTACATCTTTTTCAAGTGGATACAACTAACACAGCAATCAAAGGACAGGGTTCAATGTTCGGTAAGACAATTTGCCAATTTGCTTCCCTTGCTCTAGGCAGACAGACTAAAGGCACAACGGACCTGGACAAGAGTGACGCTTTGAAATGGTGAGACTGTGAATGGTGAGACGACAAGTTAATAATGTTGGGTTGGAGAGAGTGGAGTGAGAAGATTTAATGTGGCTTACCTTGCTCATCTTTGCTGTTGACATCAAAACATGTAAAACGGAAAAAAAGACAATGTTATTGATATGGAAATGGATGTATTTTGGCGGTGTAGAGTGAGTCGAGCTGGAAATCTGCAGCAGAGCAAAGTATTTTTATGACCTTTGTGACACACTTTTCTGTCTCAGTGTAAGGGCCTCAAGCCAGACCAAGAGAGGGAGCTTCGTTGGTTCATGAACGACTAAGAAATGCACGCATCACGGTCACATCGCAATCAACAAACTGAACACTCCTGACCAACGAGTCTCTGAAGGGGTGCTTCCGCTAGAGGCGGATAATCATCACTTGTGAATGACTGTCTTTATTCTGTGTGTTTCTTAGTGTGTCTTTCATCACTCATATTTACCCACAGTGTTCCTCCGCAGGCTTACTAGTAAACAGTGCATATGTACCTTTCTTGACAAGATCCTAATGTTATTTGGCTTGTCATGCTGTGTTTGAGCGCAATTATGCCCCATTCATTGCAACATGGTGCTTCCTGCTTACAGCTGACATGGCAAATTTGCCTCATGTCAAATGGCCCTCTGGCCTGATTATTGCCTGATCTGGTCCCATTATTTAAATGCCTGAACGTTTTTCCCTGTAAGAAGTGCCTTCAAGTGAGTGTCCTCATGACTTGTAATGTGGGCTCCTACCCTGACAGGAATAGTGTGCCCCTTTTCAGTACTTGAGACTGTGCTAGTCCAGTCTAATAGATGTGAACATCAAGGCTGTCATTGGGATGCTACCAGGCCAGATTTTACACTGTGCCTAGGGTCTATGAAAAATTGAAAGCCTGTGGAAATTTTGAGGGCCTGTGAAAAAATAATGGTGTACCACAAAAACGCATTTATGAACACGCGGGAAAAGAAATTTCGAAATCTGAATTTCTTATTTTGGGAAGGCTTCGAACCAGTAACTGTATAAGCTTTACACAGCTTGGCATCAAATTAAATGCGAGGTTCCAGATCTGTACTATGCTTCATGGAATTGGGGATATCACCTAGGACAAGAAGGGTCTTTGGAGCATTGTAGTACACTTAATCCAGGCCGGGTTGTCGGGCCTGATGTACACGATCAAGTCTACCAGTCTGGGTAGGTACCCATCCCTCTTGCCCCTCGGCCTAGCATGGGGACTCACCCGTACTCCCTGACCTCATCCAAGGTGATGTCCGGGTTCTCCTCCGTATCCCCCTCCAGGTTCACGCTGATGTTGGGGATCTTGGCCAGGAGCTCATCCACCTCATTGTGCAGCTCTGCTCGGACGGGTCGGTGGGTACGACCCCGAGTTGGGACAAGGGGTGGGGGGAGGGGGAGAAGATGTTGAGATGGAGGTGGGGAGAGAGTGGGGTTAAGGTTAAGACAGAATTAGTACGGTTGTTATATCTACATGGTTTTTTTCCTCAGAATTACTTTCCTAATGCCTCATACATGTATCCAGGGTTGGGAGGTTCAAACAGAAGTAGGTTTAAGCAGGCTTGGAACTAGAGCTGTATTTGCAGCAAACAGGGTACCACAAACATCCAATTTAGCTTGTGAAGAACCTGTGTTACAGGAAATTAGCTCCATTGACAAGCTCCTGCACACAAATGCTGTTCTATAGGCAAAATCAAATTTGCTGTCGACCTCCATGTAGCTCACCACCACTGAGAGGGTCTAATCAAAACATACAGTGGCCCCTGGGGCATGGAACATCAGGGCAAAACACGGCCATGGCAGAAGCCTCCACACTAGGACCAAAAACTTGAACTAACTATCGTCCGTGCACAAAATGATTCCAGCAACACAGTATCTTTACATTACTATGGGTGTATATGTGTATCTCTCACAGTGGTCAATACTTGGGAAATGACCGGAGGAATCGGTCTCGTCATTATGAGTAGCAACCACCACTCGATCCAGACAATGGCCCTGTACCATGGTTAATGATGTACCGGTACAAAAGAGAGTGACATGGCAACATATCATGTGATAAAACTGTCTCGTGCAAAAAGAGATCCGGCATGCTCCATGGTTTCTGAAGCTGTCACAGGCAGGGAATTATGGGTGCTGGGAATGAAATGGTCACATGTGCATTTGAATGTTCATTGTGGTATACATGTACATGTTTGCATTTCGTGTAGCATTGTGGATATTGTCAGACTGTGGACAGGGATGGAATGAAAATATCGGCCAGGTTTTTGCTTTCAACTCTCTTGATCGTGATTACTGATGGCAGTTTCCATCATTCATGGCTCAAAACACAGTGATGACAGGTCGTAACAAAGAGATTCCCTACCCCGGGGATTGCTCGTGACCAGTGTTCTAGCTGGGACCATTTTAGTGCCGGGTAAAATTTTTGGATTACAAAGCATAGTGAGCGTAGTTCTTAATGCCTTCTGATGCTTGAAATAAATCTTTTTTTGAATTGGTACATTTAAATTTTCAGTAATATTTCGGTTCATTTTTTGGAAAATCCGTGCTGGGTGGCACAGCCAATTTCAACCCTGAGTGCCGGGCGGAAATTTGCAGTACCGGGTGGTGCTGCCTGGCACCGCCCACGGCGGCTAGAACCCTGCTCATGACATCATTTTAATGATGCCTGGAAATGAGATGAGAAAGTAAACACCGTACAGCAATATCTGTCAACGTACTTGCAAACCTTTGGATGTGTGACTTTTTGTTTGTGTATACCCACCCCAGGGGTATTAATGTTGTTTTCTAATCTTTACATGCCAACTTTAAAAGGTTGCAATGATTTTTATGAAGGAAAGAAAAAAGGCCAGGTCCAGAAACTATCAAACCTCCCAAACCTACATTACATGTATGTGTGACTGTATTAATCACCAACAAATGAAGTGTCTGGTACACTCTCTCTCTCACTGAATGAGTATGGCATTTAAATGTTAATATTCCATTTGAAACGCAACACAATGACGACTGTGATTAAAACAGTATGCATTCCAACGTGCGTCCACAAGGTTAATTCCCCCTGACAAGTCCTACTGATCTCACCATGCTAGTACATACAACATGCACTGTTGTTAGATCACGGTTTCCACAAACATGATTTCATGTGACACAAGGGTACTGCGTGGCTAAGACTTATCACCACATTGCATTGCAAAGCCCAAATTGGACAACAAGGATGCACAATACACCAACTGGTATCTTTCTTCTGATAAGCTGATTTTCTACATGTGGTCAAGAATTTGGTGAAATTTCCACGCTTACTGCTTATCCTTGATACGCTACAACAATTTCTTACTCAAGTATTGTTTTCTCAGCTTCTCTGACAATATTGCTGAGAGTTACTTCCAAGGAACCAAGAAATAGAAATATTTTTATAAATTTTATTAAAACCCCTTGAAATTGCATCATTGGGATTCAATTAACCTTATTTCAAATTTTTGTTTTGCAATTTTAACCCATATTTTGATGCTTTTTTGGTTATATGCTAATGCAATTTGCATATTCATGAGCAGAACTATGATGTCATTCAAGGCACTGAATCTCAATGTTGCACTGATTTGTGCACAGAAAATTTCTAGACTTTTCTAACCACTGTTTTGGCAGATTTTATTTTCTTTGGCAATTTATTGCTGTGTAAGTATATGGCAATAATCCAGCAAAAATCCTTTTCACAGAAATGTTCCCAGATAGCAAATTTGGGGTTCACAATTTAAACATGCAGCCTGAACCATGTCTTCCTGGATTTAAGTCAAAGTAAAAGCGCCCTCACTTGTCCAGAAATGCTTGGCCAATTTTTAATGTTTGAAAAAGTGCACCGTTCAGTTCAAGTAACTCCAAAAAGATGTCAACAGTCTTCATACATGGAAGAGTACAGAGATACACAAAAAGTGATTCGAAGAAAAATTCATTTCCTCGATCCTTGCTACCTGTCATCTTATGACAATTCTAGACTACTTCGGCAGTCTACTGTGATTTTCTGAAAATAACTCTTTCTCAGAAAGCTTCCACCTGACACCAATCACTTCTTTCGACAATCACTTCTTTTCAGATAAACTCTTGGCTACCAAGAAATTGAAAAATTCATCTCCAACAAGCAACTTGTGGAGTGGTTTTCTGTCTGAGTACTCCTGTCAGTAAACAACATTTTAACAGAAGGCTCATTTAATCCTTAAGTCCTAAATCCTCCAATGGTTTGAAGTGTCAGGTACATAAGGGTTCACTCTCGCTTTCCAGGCTCTCTTGGGAGGCCCCTGCACAAATCTACAAAATCTACTAGTCGTAAGAAACTAAATGACATGTTCCTTGTAGCTCAAGATTTAAGAGGCACTAAAGCTCCTGTGAAGAAACAGCTGCTCAGCTGTCCTCAATCCAGTGAAAAACTATGAAACCAACTTCATGGATTTTCAAGGGTCTGGGAAGGACAGGGTTAGGACTCAGTCGTCTTCTTACCCTCTGGAGTCTGGTGATCCCCACCGCTAGTGATCACAGTCTCCTCTGTCGTCTTGACCACCTTCTGATCGCCAGAGCTGGATGATGAGATGAGTGTCCGCTCTGTCTTGACCACAGTGGTGCTGGATGTTTTCACCGTCTTCACTGTAGTCCCACCTGATCAAGTGGGCAAACAAAAGATTCAACTGGTCAGGCTGGAATTGTAATTCTTGACCGTCCAAACTAGCCAGCCTAGTTTGGACCCCATCAGCTGTGGCCAGTGTACAACCACACCTTCTGAACAAATACTGCACAAAATTACAACTAATGATGGACCGTTGAGGGCAATTAGTTTGGTGTGCCCTCACTAGGCGGTTATTTCCCGTCAAAACGACAAGACAGGTAGCTGGGATGGCATCCATTAAATGCTGTGAGATACGAGTGATCCAAGTAAAACCTCTTAATGGTGACTTTGAGGAAAATGTCAAACTACTCAAAATGCAGACAGTTTGGTAAAAAACACACATTTTACAGTTTGGCCCTTTCAGCAAAGCAGAATGTGAACAACTCTGTGAAAAAGAGTTCTCAGTCGCATGAGCCACTAAAAAGTTAAAGACTTTGATAAGAATCTAACACAGTGTAAATCGATAGGAGCCCTCGACATTTTTCACCCAAGTAATGTCCATTTTCAAACTGAGAGATTCATCAACACAAATGCTCAACTTTCTCTGCTCTTTCTAATGTAAACTGAAACAAAGTGACTGAAAAAAGAAGGCCTTATGAATCATTTTAACTGAGCAGATCACAAATTGTGGAATTTTTTTTTTTAAATTCAAATACCAGTTACTCACTCTGAATCATCATGGGGTCATCCATGTCAGTCTCCTGTACCACCACTGTCGTTGTCTCTGTCCTTGTTTCTGGTGCCGCATCATCACTGGCGGGCGGGGCCGACTCCTCAGCGGGGGCAGCTTCCTCAGCCACTGCAGCAGGCTCCTCAGCGGGTGGGGCCTCCTCAGCGATGGGGTGGCCGTCCACAGGGGCCTCCGGTTCCTGGGGGGCAGGTTCCGGCTCAGGCTCCGGGGGTGGAGGCCGCATGCCCTCGGGCAGCTCCAGCATGCACATGGGCTCGGTGAAGTACCGGGCAGACAGAGAGAACCTAGGAGAAATAAAGGAAAATTGGCGTTTTGAAACAGAACTGTAACATAACGACATCACGCTTTGTTTACATACATGTGTGCCTTCCTATGGCAATGAGGCTGGCCGCCATCTATCAAGCTCCCATAAGAAGGAATACATGAAAAAAAGGTCTACTGGAAACGTATTGCAAGTATCCAGAATTAGGCTGCCCACCACATTAACCCCTTCGCTACGGATGACTGCTACTACCGCACCATTGTGTGAGGACTGGTGCATACCACACATACAGTCTATTCACCATACAGCTACTGGTTCAATGGGGCCCACTGCTGGACAAAGCCCTCCACTCAGGGCATACCACAGCCCAGCAGTCACAGTCAAAAGAATCCTGCCGTGAAGGGGTTATAGGCCACCAAATCTCTTCTCAATTTGCACCGGAAAAAATCCAGAAAATGCCAAAGCACTGGAAGCATTCAACCCTGACAAAACAATTCAAACCAATACAACCCTGAAAGATTGAGATATTGAATGGTGAAAACTTCCAACGATATGATAACCTCTTAGAAATTACTGACAAGGTAAACGGAACAAGAAACAAATCATGAGAAGACGTCACTGCTTGCTTTGCTTCACCCAGGAGTTAATGGACACCTATGACGTTAGTTCTTTCTACCAGCCACGGAAGCAATCATGCTGATGGCCTTAAGAAATGTTTTCTAGATCCGATAAGCAGTATTAATGATGACACAGCCGGCATTAAGCATCAGCATATTAAGAACACCATAATGGTGCATTAGCACGTCGTCAGTTACTGAAAGTTATTTGTCTACCGACCTTTCAAGCTCAGACGGCGAGAGCAGGTAGAATCCCTCCCCGCGAGACGTGAAGATGAGAGACTGAATGCCAGCCACGTTCTCCTTGCGGAGGGCAGAGAAGCCCAGCTGTTTCTTGAGGGCCGGAATGCTGTAGATGGCCAGCTCTCCCAGGTTGGTCAGGCAACTGATGCAGTTCTCAGAGTAGTTGTCGTCTTTTTTGGGGGGGAGGGGAGACAAAACCACAATGTTTCAATCCATCAAACTGCTACGGGTATGTCTTTTGGATTCCACAGTCCTTCTGTCTTTCTGACCTCAGAGGGAGGTCAGTCCATTGAAAAAAAATCCTCATTCCTTACAATGTTGTCGCAAGTCAGGCAGGCCTTCAAAGTTTGTGATCAGATTTGCAAGTGTCAAATTCAATTCGCAAACTCACCACTTCGGCTTCTGAAGTTGATGTAGCTGACCTTGCGAACCTTGGACCCATCGTGAGCGGTCAGCTTGGTCTTGCGGAATGGCTTCAGGCTGGGCAGGTGGAATACCTGGGATAAGGGAAGAGAGAAGGGTCAAACATCAGCAAGCCTATTGAGACTGTCCAATCGCATCTGAGATAAAATTCAGTTTGGTCAATGCTAAATAAGGTCTTCCTTTCTTATTTCACAATCAGGTTTTTTCCCACAGGGCTGGTAAAACTTTGGCTGGCTGTCAGCACAAGAGTACAAGAATACATGTAATTCATTAAGTGTTAACAACTTTGCGCCGGGCCCATTTATCTATGTTTGTTCTGCTGGGCCGGGCGATTTTCATTTTGTTCTGCTTTCAAAATTCTTTAAAAATTCATATCTCCATTTACTGGACGCTTACAACCACACAAATGACTGTCTGGTTTCTACTCCAATCTGACAGACAACATCTATTGACGCCCGGGTATTTCAGCCAGGCCTGTTGCCGTGTAAAGAGAGCCCAGATTGCGCAGTGTTACGTAATTTTCTTTTGTTCCCGAAACTGGCCAAGTGCGCAGCTGGCCTCTTGTCAAATGTGGCCAGATTAGTGTGCAGCGGTATTGTATCACTGGAGCCTTTTGTCCCCAGTCGTAATCCACTGGCACTGAATGCCACCAACAGTGGTATACTGTATTAAAACAATGATGGATTACCTCCGCTATCGGCCATTGAAAAAATACTGGCAATTCCCAGCAGCCCAGTCTTTTATTCCGAGTACGGTTTTCTGTTACAAAGGGCCAGTTCCCTCTGTCCGATTTTGGGCACCCCATCTGTGCGTATTAAGCCAACGTCTCCAAAATCGGGCTCCCCAGCATTAAGTGGTTAAAAATTGTCACTCAGGTATCAAAATTTATCACTCAGGTATCAAAATTTGTCACTCAGGTATCAAAACACCACATAAATACAACTACAGGCACTTAATACGACACAACAAACTCCCTTCTTTAAGGTGATGAAGCAAATGTATATTTTGAGGTTAAATCCGACATCGAGCTAGGGTGATATTTCTGCAAACTCTGGCTGCTCATACAAATAAGCAGGCAGTTGGAGAGGTGTCTATGAAAAGTAAGTAACTATGCTCAATAAATTCATGATGAAGGTGCAAAACGTCAGGGTTTTTGCCCTTCCTTTTTTCCGTAAGTCTCCCGCTTTAAAATTTGTCTCTTGCTAATCCAATCAGGTCTCAGCCCATCACCTGCTTTATTTTAAAATCTAGAAAAGTCAGATTTTTCCTAGCTCTGATTGTGCTCTATCTCCTACATAAATTCTACTGCAGCAATGCTCTGCAGGTTGGGAGATGTGCGGGCATTGATCTTGGACTGTGCTGATGTGAGCTAGGTGACACAGCGGCTACAGCTTACAACCTACCTTGAACTGTTCCTCGGAGCACACGATGAGGCTATGGCCGCTCATGTTGGGTGGCTTGGCTCGCTCGTTCTGTACATCAATGGGGTCTGGCAAGGGGTAGGTGTCACTGTCCACAATGACCAGAGACACCACGGGGGCGCCGTGCTTCAACCTGATCTCCTTAGCTGTGATGAGGTCGAAAAAATTATATAAAGTTATATAACATGATCAAAGGTTAGCGAGGTTGAACCTGAAGCTTCTCCTTCACCGACGCAGGATTCCTGCATCTTTAGGGTCAATAATTCAATTCTGTGACTAAATGATGAAGATCTGTGACTAAATGATGAAGATCCATGACCGGTTTATTTAAATGTAGATTTAACTATGAGAGATGCAACATTTGTTTCCAATTTGTTTTCCATTTGAAATTTTGAATAAATTGGTCCCAAAACATGTGCGACTTATCTGTGACTATTTTTGCCATTTTTACCAATTTCCATGTATTTTTTGGTACCTGAGAATGGAAAATAAAATTCAAAGACTTCTCAAGGTTTTTTCCTAGACCATGGGAACCTTGTATCATAAAACCAAAAGGGAAAGCATAGATAAGGCTGGGTACTAGACCCAATGGCAACTAGTACCAGTTTGCCTGTTATTGACTGCGTTGAAAACATGGCTGGGCATTTGGGTTCTCCTGTAATCCTCTCCCTTTTGGTTCACACAAATTTCAGAAAATTATTTATGAATTTTGCTGCTGCAATTAAATGAATTTATTTTTTAAATGTGTTTTGTTTTTGCTCCTCTAATTTTTAAAACATACTTCATTCATCTTCGCCCTGTCGTGAGTAGTTTAATTTATTGTCCACTTGGGACTGGGGTTTTATGTTGCATCTTAATTGTTTGGTCCGTATTTTGGTTGAATACTGAATCAAGATGATGAAATTATATATGCGCTTCTTCACATGGTTTTTACCTTCAGATCACTCACAAATCGGAATGCAACCTTTTTTTAAATCAAAATCTATCTGCTGTTTTGAAAATTGCCCGTCTCCCCAAAGTGGGGTGCATAGGGTAAAGAAATGAATCCTGTCAGTGTATGGGCAACCCCAGCAGGACGAAGAGAGGGTGCAATTTTCCTAGCAGCGGAGGCTCCATTGATGGGAACTGTTAGTTCACGAACTTTGCCGGTTCAGGAGCGACTATGAAATGCACACGTTATGGTAAAGTCACTACCAACATAACAAAACCCGCCCCACCAACAAGGCTCTTTTCAACCCATGGGGGAGTGCTTCTGCTCAAGGCAGATTAGCTGTTAAAAGTTACATTACAAATTGGTCAATTTGTGGACTGCCATATTTGAGAGCCGTTGTTATAGTACACAGATTCTTACAAATCATTGCCTCCACTGCGTCCGTGTCTCGTTTGTCGGCTCCAGGGATGCTGATCACGTAGATGATGACAGATCCGGCATTAGTGCCACACCACAGAGAGGGAGTTGCCACCTGGCCTAAACAACAGATCCACCAGAAGTGCATGGAATGAGTCATTAATCTTGAAATGGGGTTTTTTTCTCACCAGTTTGTGTTTTTCTACTGAGCGACTTGTGAAAACGGACAAAGCAGCAAAGCGACCAGAGCTTCCTGAAACTCAACGCAAACAAAATAACATCAGAGAGACTTCCTTGTCCGTAAACCTCTTTAAGATGACGCCATGCTGGATTAGAGTCCAGCGTTCAGATTCAGGGGACTTACTGTCATTGACAAAGGTGTTGGCAAAGTACAGGCATCGGACCATGCTGGATTAGAGTCCAGCGTATCAAGTCCTGAATCACCAGATAGCTGAATTGTTGGCATGTGGACTGTAGGTCCAACAGACATTCACATCATAATGGTATTAATTCAATGGAGATTGTACGCTGTTTAACTACGCCCAAGGGTCAGGGGTGCCAAAGGCATGGTTTTTTGGGGGGGAAGGGGAGTGGTCTGCCTCTTATAGACAAGGGGCAGTGTTCAGATTCAGGGGACTTACTGTCATTGACAAAGGTGTTGGCAAAGTACAGGCATCGGACCATGCTGGTCTTGGTGTCATCACTCCTGGCTTCAATCTTGCGTTCCACCTGGGCCATCTCGCGGGTGGGGCTGGACTTGGCACCGCTGTCTTCCTTGCCCTCAGGCTACAAAACGAGGAAAGAAAAACCAGAAATCAACATGAAGTCCACACAACAGTTACACTGGAAAATTCAAATACTGATACTGTAATCTTGCTAAACAGAGCAAACAAACAGTATAATACGTTATTTTCCAACTTAAACAATAATTAAGCAGAATTCAGCAAACACAGTCATCTGTGTGATATCTTTAAGGTGTTGAAAAGATTTAAAAAAAGTGGGGTTTTTTGAGAAATAAAATTTCGTAAGAATTTAAATCGAAAATATTAAAGTATAAAACTTTAAGTTTCTTTCCCTAAGAAAAGGCCATGCACTCAATTCTGGAAGAATTTAATGTGTTTTGAAACGATGAGTGTTTAAGGACAAGCAATGTCAGGCTGCCAATACTTTTCTCAAATTTCTCCATTTTGTCAATGCCTGTGGTCTGTACACCCACTCGTTTCATTTGCAAGTTTTATTAATTTTTCAAGAGCAGTGAGCTTGTGTATTCAATTCCAGGAGAATAATTTTGGGTATGTAAAGGTTTTCTCTCGGTGTTTTATACCTTGTCTGCGTCAATGTCCGTGGTCTGCACGCCCTCCCCAGATCCACTGGCTCCGCCTTCCGCTCGCTCCTTCTTGGGCGATCCAGCCCTGTGGTCCCGCCTCTTCCGCAGCCTGCGGATGGAGGCACGCAGCGACTTGGCCATGGAGCGCTTGCGGGTCATGGGCTGCCCCGTGGACGACAGGTCGTTGGGGTTCAGGGTGCAGTGGGCGCTGACCAGCTTCTTCTGCACGGTGTCAAACAGGGCAAAGCCATGGCTGGTGCCCAGGCCAGCCAACCCCCAGCTAGTTTGAAGGGCCAGGGCTGTGATGGAGGCCGGGGGTTGGGCTTGCACCACCATGGACGGCTGGAAGCCAGGGGCAAACTTCAGGGCATCTTCCTTGACACCCAGCGACTCATGGCCCTTCCACACAAATTTGTCTTGCTCCCCGACAATCTGAATTGGAAAGCTCTGCAGGACAAGAAAACAATCGTTATTTACATTTATCTGCAGGTTTTAATGTTGTATTTCCCCTTTGATTAATAATAAGAATAATTTTCTTTCAAATTAATCACCAAAGTTCTACCTCTATTTCGGTCAGACCCACAAGACAGGCCTTTCAATTTTTCCTCTGCAAGAAAATGTGGAAACCCTATCACGCTGTTGTTTACATCCTTGCCCACAAACAGAAAAAATTACAAGAAAGTGGCATGCTGTGCAATACTTTACATTTTTCAACCACACAAGGCGGAGGAAATCTGTCTAATGAGCATCATGTTACTGACTTTCACACAAACAACATCTCTCAAGAACTGAAAGCACGATGAGGAAACGTCCAACCACGCCACCCTGACCATGATTTCATCTCTGAGCAGAAATCTTCTTAGTAGCTTCTTTATGATCTTCTAGAGTGGTTCAATGCCCCATTGAGCGTTTCTCCATTTTTAGCTTAATTAGTCCCACAGGAAATCATTGCGTTCAATTTATTTCAACACTGGACATGCTTTACTGCTGCGTGAATTAATACGCCCATTGGGAATCGTTGATGAATGGGACCAACATGCATCGAGACGACTGTGGGTCTCTCAAAAAAAGCTCACCAATGAGAGCATACAAAAGCTTCAGTCACGAAAGGGGTAACTGTGTCAGCTAACCCACATGAGCCGGCTGAAATAAGCTTTGAGATTGCTTACCTCCACGGTCTTCTCTACCTCCTCCGTTCCGATGTTGAGAATGACCACCTGGCCAGCGGTGCCTCCCACCAGCAGGGAGCCACTGACCGGGCACAGGACAATCCTCTGGATGCCCAGGCGAGGATCGTCGCTGAAGGGGTCAAAATTGCCAACCTGGGTGGGTGGGGGAATGGATGCAGGAACACACAACTACTAATGAACTCTGCTGTGAACATTGAAAATTCTGTCAGGAACTCTGTCGTGACACCACTGGACTCATTAGGTGAACACAGTACATTCGCATTTAAAACAACAGATTTTGCAATTATACTCGTGAACAAAGAGGTGAATTCTTCAAGTAAATTCAATGGGCTCCATGCTGAAACGGGATTGTACAGTTTTACGCCTCAACAACGTTCAGCTTGAAAAACCTATTGCAGGCAGGTGGAGTGTGAAGCAAGGAACACATCTGTGAACAGTTTTCACTGGAATGTACAGTCTTTGTGACCAGTTGAAACAGTTACCCATGAGCCTCTCTTTCATTTCATTCAACAGTGAAAGAGAAACTAACACAGAATGGAATGAGCAAGCTACAGCCAGGTATCGTCATAAATCCATCATGAATGGTCCTGGTTTCATGCTGTACAATGCAATGTACATGGCTATTGATATCCAGTAATGCCCTAAGGTCTAGCCATAAATAACTGATGGTACTCTCCTAACTAGCTCATGTATTATGAAAGTCTGTTTATCCAACTATCACTATCCGATTCCTCTCCTTCTCTGGATGTATCCAAAATTAGCTTTGGCTACGTCCACCTAATAAAGTGTACCCAGACTAAGATCTAACCATGAGATTCTGATGCAGTCTTACCTTGCGGAATGGCGGCCACTCGCCCTCCGTCTCGCCTACCCCTGCGTCAGCATGGTCAGCCTCGGTCACAAAGGCCTGGGCGGTGCTTAACTTGTAGAGGAACTTCAGGGAGACGGTGGAGGCATCCCAGAAGCGGACGGTGCCGTCCTCGTGGCCAGTCATCAGGAGGTCATGCGGGGTAGGCAGCTCGGCCAGGTTCTTACCCCCATTCATCGGCCACTCCTTCACAAGACACAAAACACAGGAACCCCATTTTATTCAACAACTTCATCTACCATTGTTTTACAGTTCTTTTACTGACCTTGAGAGTTGAAGAGTTACAAAATGTTGCAAGGGCTCACTAGTACTATTAACTATTCAAAATTAGTATATCTAGCAGGAATTTTTTATAAGATGAACAAAGAAATTGACTGGAGTAGGATTTGAACCTGCGACCTCCACAACTCCGGTGCTCTACCAACTGAGCTACCCAGCCTTGCATTGGTGGCTTTTCCCATTTGACAGTACCTTTATTTGGAGGCGCTATTTAGAAGCCACAAAACATAAAAGCACCATGCAGTCAGGGATCACACCCCATTACACAATGCAACCTGGGAAGTTGGGAAATAGTTTGTGTGTGCTTTTCCTAAGGTGTTCCACGATTCATTTGCAACCTGAAAAAAATGTAACAACCCCTGATACAGCCGAAGGCTTTCTTGAGTGTGATAACCATGTGATAACAATGCCAAGTGAAATGCACAGGTTGAAAACAATAAACAAAAGAAGCTTTGTAGTATAGCTGTAGACTAACCCAGAGCAAGAATTCAAAGCCATTTGTGCAGTGACACCAAGATTGCACCAAGGAGGGACGTTCATCTAATTCCTTTTCAACCAACAGGGTGCTGTGATTTACCCAAGCTTAAGGTCGCGTGTGTGTCACTACAGTAATGATCATCTTCTTGGATTAGTCTACTGTATTTTAATCTTGATAGATGCTGAGCTAATGAGATTGAGCACTGCCGTCCAGAAGATAGTTCCAGATGAAAGCTCAATTTGATTCAGTTTGGTATGAGCCCAAAGTGTCTCATGAATGATAAAAGGCTGTGTCCAATCAACTGGCTGTGGCCAACATTAACACACGACCCTGTGGTAAACGGCTACAGCCACCAACCAGTGACCTCCATATGCTCACTCATAATTTCCAACCGCAGCCACAATCTTTGGACGCGGCCGGACACTCCTTACCCTCTGCGAGGTGTTGTTAGCCATCTGTTGCTCCCCAGCGGCCACAATCTTGTCCCAGAGCTCTGAGGGGACATTGCTGACGTGCTGCTGGCAGGTGATGGCTGAGGCGTGCAGAGAGGACAGGTAGGGCAGGTTGAAGACCGGCCAACTGAAACCAAGCAATGACAAATCCAAGCAATTAATGGGGCAAATGTTGTTAAGCTGCCCTGAACAACTAGATATTTTTCAGTTATGGATAGTGCATAATTGAACAGGTTGTAAATCAAAGTTTACCAAGAGGTTTTATGAGGTTTAACAGGGTTTTGTTGGGTAACTCAGGATAAAACCTCAAACTAAACCTTACTTAATTCTACAATACTCCTCCACTCAATGACTTATACCAAAAAGTACCCATACAAACAAAAACACAATGCATAAACCGGTAGAAAGTGACATACTTTATAATGAGGATGATACAAAATTTGAGCAGGTGGCTCACTGAGGTACAGAGAATTGGCAAGTGAAGACTCCAGGACCATAATGGCTTTCAAAGAGTGGAGTTGAGCCAGGGTTAAAGTCAAGACCACACTTGAGGCTTCATTCTCAAACTTTTGCACAACTCTGAACTGGGTTATAGCCATGACCAGACACGAGAGGATTACTCGCAAAACCATTCACAAGAACGTACCCAGGACCATTAAAAAGTAGCTGAGTGCTGACGATGACAAGGGTTTTTTTTATCTGCAGTTCATTTGAAGAGCTAGTTACTTGAAATCAGACAGGAGGTCTTGTAATGATCTTAAGAGGTCTTGATTACAACACCGTTGTCTGGCTATTTTTTCCTATCGGCTGGGAGATCAAGTTACTTGAAGACATGACTCACCCCTCTGACTGCAGATCAATGAAGACAATCTCCTCCTCTACCAAGACAACCAGAGTGTGTGGCTCATCAAACTCTACAAGCAAATGACAGAAAGCAGAGAGGGGAATGACCCACCAACGGAGACAATGAGCCGGCTTGGTGCCTTACCTCCAAACTGATGACTTCATTGAACATTGCCCTGCTGCACAAGCCGTAACACTTCAATATGTGCAGGTAAGTAAAATGCCAACAAGGCATTAAAAGTATAGGAAATACACTGCCGATGAAGATAGGCATGAAGCTCTAATTCTTAATGCTACGAGAGCAGGGGTACATCTCTCTGATACCTTCGCTATTTATGTTTTTATCATGCCCAGCCCTCGGTTCTTTCACTGTCTTGCCGTCCTGTTTTTATACAGAACTGTCTGAAAATCTGAACAGCCCTTCTTGTCAAATGTCCTTTTCTATCAAGACCAGTAGGCCCCAAATTTTAACCTTATTAAATTGAATGACTTGTGCTAAACGCACGGCCAATACGTGTGTGAGCGTCAACTTCAAATGACCGTAACAAAATCCTTTGTAGGACTGAATCGAAACTTCACTGATACACTCATCCAAATTTCAAGAAGATGAGTGACATTGCTTATTGGGTCAGCTATTCCACATTCCTGTCCCTACATCTGGCTGAAAGGTTAAAAAAAAATTATTTCAAAGCCCTTTCAGGGTTTATCATGGAAGCTTACAGTCGGACAGTAGTTCTTAATAAATCTTGACTTATGAGTAGGGATAAACTTCGGAGTGATTGTCGTACCGTATTCAGCATCCACATCAGACATGGTGAAGAAGTCAATGACCTTGGAGGTGAAGTCCAAGACGACGTGCTTGTTGCCTTGCATGACGGTCACACAGTGGCGGTCGCCGTAGCTGGCACGGGGCATACCGCCGGAGAAGATCATGAAAGGGTCACTGGCAAAGAAATGAACACTAAGATGTAGCTGGAGTTCCTGAAACCTGACACAGCAAACCACTGTCAACAAATGTATAACGCTTTGCAGTATTTTGCCAGACTGCAAGAAACACCAAGAGATGATGTACATATATGGTCAGGGGGCCAAGATGGCTTCAGGAGTGTTTAAAGGCCAGCTGATCAGGGGTAATAACAATGTATTCTGACCACTCATTTTCTGGGTAAAAGTGCCATATACACGTACACATATACGCATAAAAGTGTCATATAAATCCATATTGGTTTTCAGGGACAATATTTTCACACTTGTGCTTGTTCACAGCAGCAGGTATAAAGCAAAACACGATACCGTAACTAAAAATTGAAAATAGGCTACTTTGAAAAGTAAATACAAAGTCAGTTAAAACAACTCTACCAGAAGCAACAATAAAAGAATTGTCAACCCTGAGAAACCATTATTTTGGAGTCTTTGCATAGTTAAATTGCAAATTGTCATCATTCTTTTATTGTTTCAGAACAACTCCACTTTGCCACTTCTGTCTGTATTAAGCCAAGTAAAAGCCAATTCTATCCGTGAAATAAATGACTACAAGGGAAATATATTTGACTCCGATATTTGGGCACGGGAATCCGTCACAGCTCTTTTACTCAGCAGAGAACAAGGAAACTAGGAACAGCAAATCTGACAGGAAATTCAATAAGCCAAAAAGGCAAGTGAAAGTTGATGTTCTCATTTCCTGTTGGGCCCCCACAGGCACTCCAAGCGGTTCCTACGAGCCATCCCTTGGGGGTAATTCACCCATTTCTGTCACCCAAAAATCTTCTCATTTGGCCAGTTCCCACGGCCAGGACACAATAATGGAATCAAGTTACTGTGCAGTAAGCAACTTTGATATTTATCCGAGGCACTTGTCTGCAACTTTTCCAGAACAAGTATTTAATTATTTTTCAAAGGCAAAACAGTTGCATCATGCTTGGCAAGCCATCAAATTTTGTTGCGCACTTACAAAAGACAGCTCCCGGGTACTGCACAGTTTTCACATTCAGTTTATTCGCACGTGTTTTTTCTCTTACATGTATGTCTAATTTTCCAGGAGTCTGGGTAGACAAATACCGTAGATACTTGAACAGGAAAAACAGCTGTAGAAATACGACACTATTTCCATGACACAACAGTACCCCCGTTTCAACACACCGTGGATTAACTTCATTAGGTGGAAATACACTGTTTAAGCCATTAACGAGCAGGTTGCTGGGGGGGAGGGGCAGAAATAGCGCCCGTACTCTCAAGCATCAAAGGGAGAACTGCCAGACTAAATGTATGTGGACAGCATCTGCTCATTTCTCCCTTAAGCAGACATCTCAAGCAAACACTACAGGAAGCTCTCATATTCCCAAATTAGTTCCGTTCCAAAACAGATTGAAAACACAATACATGTCAAATACATGTACATTTGTCATTCCAACATGGACGGGGGGGGGGAAAGTTGGTGAGAGATGCCGTGTTGTGACGCACTACACTTATTTGTACGAAGTTGGCAAAACCACAGACATAAACCCACAGACGAGCAGCTTCTACTCAAAACCAACGGCAGGGTACCCTAGCCAAGACAGCGCCTGACTAAATCCAAAAGTGGCGGCAAATTCTTCCCTTGGTATAGGGAATTTACCGCCCACCGTGACCTCTTACCTCTTGGTGGTCAGGTACTTCAGCTTGTTGATGGCCTTGCAGGGGAATGGTCCTGAAATGAAAGAGACCCAACAATAACAGACCGGTATATACAAACCTTAAAAAGAACTGAAACCCCCCGCCCCCCCAAAAACACCTCCCTCAAACAGGAGTAAATGACAAGGAACGGCTCTCCCAACTCAATGCAGTGAGAATGGAGAGGATTCTCTTGGCATTGTTTTCCATTTATGTTCACTTTGCGGGGAATCGGGAGTTCTGAAAATTGCTTGACAAAATTCAATTTTGGAAAGCGACACACACATGCAATAAAGCATGAAACGTGCTTCAAAACCTGCAAATTGTATTTGGAAAAGTTCACAGTTGGCGCTGTCACTTTGAAATCTTGTCTGAGAGTTGAGATAAGATGCACTTGATGAAAAGTATTTATATCTTGCTCATTTCATGATTTGTAATAGAAACAAGGAATTTTCAGAGTGGGAAGAGGTGGGATGGTTAGCAGGGGGGCCAAAGGATGCTGCTTTTCCAGCTGAACTTCATGTTAATACATGTACCACTTGGAGACAATTCCAACGAGGATCGTTATTTGTGTTAGCTTTAATTATATGCACACTAGCACAACATAGGGCCCATGCTGTCCTGTCAGTACCAATGAACCAACTGATCTGGATTCTAGCTGAACTGTAAAAGTTCTATCAAACCAAGTTTCTTTAGAGTCCTGTTCAAGACCGTGCAACGGACCTTTCCCATGAAATACGCAAATTAGACTGGCTACTACCACTGGTTGGCAAGCGCGGCCGTTAACACAATCGGCAGTGTAGGTGAGCTGCTAGTAACCATAACCTGGAGCGTGGAAGGTCAATCAAAACCGCATTACTTCCTTTGCCCGATACTTGAGCGTGCTTTTTTCAAAACGAAGTGAAGTTTTCAGTGTTCTGAGGTCGGAAAGTAACAATTCCTTATCTTTAAGTTTGGCACTCATGTCAAACTATACTAGTACAGAAACGGCGATATTGGTGCCCCCAAAGAGATTTGTATTGTTATATCATAGATTTAAGCAACTTTGCCAACCAGTGGTGGTAATGCGCATGTCTTATTCGCATATTGCACGGGAAAGGACCATCACCATCCATGTTGCATGCATTTATACATGTAATCAGTGTCCACTTACATGTACATGTATACACCAACTACTTACGAGAACTTGCTACAGTATTTGGACTTTTTCAGTCTTAAATTGCTGTGCAAAAAGCAACCAATATGCCACATGCCGAATGTGGTGTACACTTAGTAGACCTTTGATTTTTAAAAATAAAGGCCTAGTCTGCTCTGGCATTTGCGTGATGTTTGGAAGACTGGCTGGTTAACTACTGAACAAGGGATCTTTGCGGGTGAATGTAAGAGGACATTCATGTTGTGGTCGGTTAGTAAACAGGTTACTGTGCATTGCTGATGGGATTTTGGGGATGAGACGCGAATCTACAATGGCGCAGAAGATAACGCGAGCCAATTATAGAGGGGGAAAGCAAACATGGTGCTATAAGATGCATCGGGCATGTCAGTGCCAAAAACAAGAAGAAAAAAAGGCTGTGCAAAATATTTGAAGATAACTTACTGCCGTATTGAAAAAAAAAAAGGAAAAAGTGCGTGATCTGTGAGGTTTGCATGCCAAATTCCCACCCTAAAATTGCACATTTGAAGCTTCCGTTGCAGTTTGGATGGTTTTGGGCAGGTCCTAATCTTACCATTCATTTCTTCCCCGTCTATAATTGGTCTATTCTTGCTCCCTGAAGGACAGGACAGATGATGGGGGGGGAGGGAGGGGAAACAGAGAATATAAGAACATGGGAAAAGAAACAAACTTGTGAACAAAAATGGGGTGTCTCAGGAGATTCCATGTCATCATGGGGGGGTTGTGAAAAAAGTGAGGGGGTTAATCAACGCAGGACAAATTAATGTAAATAATACACATGACGACATGAAAGAGAAGGGTTTCAAACCACGTTAGAGTCTAAACTTTTCAATCATTGACAGATGGAATTGCTTTTGACAGCACTGAAACAGCATCATGACTGGCAATTTTAGTAATGTCAGACTTTATTAGACAGGAAAGGAAATAGGAAACTACCGATGTCAGGAATTTTTTTTTGTCCTTTTTGGCTTCCATTAGGTTCTGAATTTAATCTTCAGGCATGCACAGGTACTAGGTAGGTATCAAGTACATGTCCTCGGACATCAACAGTGACAATATTGCCTTTTGTAAACAACGAATGTTTTAGCAACAGTTCTGTCCTCTAAGTTGAGGAGTTTGCTACAGGTGCATGGAGTCTGTAGACTGTGCAAGTGTAGGGATAAAGGCAAGGAACTAGACATGCAACATCCGTACTACCTTGCATGCTTTAAAGAAAAAAAAAAGGAATGAGTTTGGACTTCTAGGTTTCAATGGATGTGGTACGTAAATTGATTCTTAGTTCTTAGCATGAAAAAAATCATCCAATTGAACTCTTTCCGTAACACTGTATCTAAAAACAGTAAATTCTGTTGATAACAGCAGACTTCATCATTTGTCCATTTGCACACACTTTCCTGGCATTGTGAAGCAAACTCTTTTGGCCACCAAAACTTCCAACACAGCAGAGAGCAACCACCCCTTTCCTCGGATAGTGGCCCCTCAACCCCAAAATGATATTGATTCACCCACTGACTCTTCCGTCCAAACCGCTACGGTCAGAAAACATGTTAGTATGGTACCATGCTTTCACCCCCCAGTGCATGTGTTCTGAACTAACTATGAGATGGGTATGCATTTTGGTAAGCTGTAACACTCTTGAGGTGCAAAAGGGCATACAAATGGCTTCTAGAGGAAAGTGTGAATACAATATGAGTAATTCGCTCATTCAGTTACATGTACATGTACCATGACTTCTGTCCACATAAAATTGTCACAATGTACACTGTGGCTGCATCCGAATCTCTTGTCTCGAGCTAGGTCTAGGTTTTCACTCCATTGGAAATGCGTGGAGATGCGCAGACAACAGACCTAGCCGTAGCTCTGGAAGCCCATTTCGGACACGGCCTGTACATGTTTTTTGCCACCACCATATCACAGTTTGAACTCTGATCTCGGACACTTGTGATGTAAATTATTTTTGAATGCTCAGACTGTGAGGTTGCTAAAAGCCTTATATAATCTGGCCTGCATTGCCTTGTATCAACTGTGGGAGAGATCTGAATGCACACGCATGTAATGCCACATTGGGGTACATGTCTACGAGGTATTCTATGGAAGAGGCCTAACCCATCAAGTACTCTACACGTTTCCATCAATCAGGATTTGTGAGTTTATTCAGCAAACCCACTTCTTGTGACAAACATAGGGCACTGAACTTGAACAAACAGTTTAACTGAATTTCTGATTATTAAGTTCGGGGGCAGAACTACTGCGGTGTTGAACTCTGCCAAAATGTCTGTTTTCATGAAAAATCAGCAGCTTTCAGAGAGAGATAACAAGCACTGGTTTATAAACTCCACCAGGTACAATTTCAGAATGATGTTGGTTCCCCAGTTTTAGATTCAATTTTTCCCTATAAAGTTCAGTTCCATTGTTAATTACGCTTGATACCTTCAACACAATACCTTCCATGTCAGTACACTGTGGGTGTACAGGACTCCCTACAAAGGACTCGGGGAATTGAAAAAGTTGCTTGTGAAAAAGCCACTCGTGACCACTATGTAACGGGGTTGCACCATGCTGTGCTTTTACCGCTGATTTGAGCCCTCGAATGTCAGCCTGGCTGTATTGTGAAACGCTCCCACTGTAGGTCAACCTGAGCGTGGCTGAAGTGGCATGCACTACTGATTGCTCTTACTTCAGGGGATAAGTCTGACCACCGACTCAAGGAAACAGCCTGGAGTTGAAGTGCACCCTCAATGGCAACGGTGATCGGCGCTGCTGTCGAGACACAAGACTTTTCACAAGACCAGACACAAGACCATTCACAGGACACAGGGAGAACCAAGACAAAAGAATGCTTTTGTTGCATTTTATTTCAATAGTTGTAACTTGAATTCAGACTGGAGGTCGTGTTGATATTGTGATGATCTTGTGTGGGGGTCTGAAGGGGTGTCAACTACAACACTGAAGGAGAATACAGGCTGGTGAGAAGTTTTTCAAGTGGGCTTGCGTACACACCTTCAGCTCATTCAAACAGAAATTGGTCATGTGTGGTCAATGCATCCCCTGCCAACCCACATGCAAACCTGTGCATGCATGCTGTGATTTCAAACCAAAGGAACACTGTTGGAATGTCAATGCACGCCATCTCTTGTTCCTGGCTTCTCCCACCCTAAGACTTCCACCTACCGTACGGGATGACAGGCTCCTTCTCGGGCTGTGAGGACTCCTGGGCATTCCAGACGCAGTAACTGCCGTCGTTGTGGGCGCTGGTGAAGCGCAGGCCATCGCGGTGCCAGCAGAGTGACTCCAGCTGCTGGTTGCTGACAAACGTCTGCTCAGCCGTCAACTCCTTAGGGTGCCAGACCACAATCAGGCCTCGGTTGTAGCCAATCAGGAGCTGGGGAAAGTCGCGAGACATTTTCATACGGGGACGAAGATCCAAGATCGTCAGTCAAGATATCAGTGAACACACAAAGATTACCTTTTCAATTATATTTTACCCTGAATGCTTAAGAGCCTTGTTGAGAGGCAAAATGCAAAATTAAATAGGCAGTAACCTGAGGTTTACCTCAACGTTTCATGATATTTAACTCATTCCTTTTTGGATACTGTAACCTCAAGTTAAAACCTTGATTTAGCCCTTGTTTTATTTTGCATTTTTACCTAGTCTAAAACGTTTTCATTGAATGCTTTCAAAACTCTGTCATCACTGCAGAAAGTCACTGTGCACACAAAAGCTTTTGGCTCGAGTCACACCTGTAGTTGCAACTAAGTCCATTACAGGTTTAGCTTTGAGTATTTGAGTATCACCAGTGGCAGAGTATGAACAATGAGGAACATTGACAGAGGAATGCCTGTCACACTTAATTTGAAAGCTTGCAGCTTGTGACTAGAGACTGGATGACTCAGGATTGACTTTTGAGGCACCTGTCTTGACAACAACACGCTGGTATCTGTCGACCAAACTGTCATTATTCTTTCCAACAATACTTCAAAGTTACCAGCTGCAGCAACTTAAACAGCAACTCAAAGGAAAACATGTTTTCTCTGATTTTATCTGTTCAAATAAACATGGAAGCATCCACATCAACCAAAGTGTCATTTGTCTTCAGAGCTCAAATATAACAAGCTAAAAAGGGCTTTTTTCCTGTCCATGCCAAGATGCGAATTCGGAATGTAGATTGTGTCATTCTGAGAAAACAGAGAAAACAAGGGGAACCCTTGCCCTGTGTTCGTAGTGGATAAACCCTTTGCATGCCAAGCAATGACTCCAAACAATGGTTACATGCGCTGTTTGATATGCACAAGGTTTATCCACTACGAACACAGGGGGAGGGTTCCCCTGATTTTCTGTTTTCTCAGAATGACGCAATCTACATTCAGAATTGGCGTCTTAGCATTAACAGAAATAAACCCTTTCTACATGTAGCTTGTTATAGTTGAGCTCTGAAGACAAATGACACTGCGTTCAATTTGGATGCTTCCACGTTTATTTGAACAGACAAAATCAGAAAAAAACATGTTTTCCTTTGAGTTGCTCTTTAAAATGCAAGAATTGAACAAACACATCAAAGACGAGGAATGGCATTCTTTCCCCATTCAGCCCCTCACCTTCTCATCATCAGTCGGGTGTTGGGCAATGGCCTCAACTGGGCCAGGGTTGACCTTGTAGTCGTCGGGAACGCTGAAGGAGGAGGAGGAATCACGTAACCTGGTTAGAGACGGGGTTAGAAACCAAGCGAGTAGTTGTTGGAAAAAATGTGAAGCGTGTGAGGAAGAACACACACACACACACATACAACAAAAGGACGACAGAGATGAGGAAAGAAAGTTCACCGACAAGAGGGGGGGAGGGATTAGATCATGGTATGAGCAAGTGTGAGTTGTGTGGTTCATGAACATTTGCGGCCCTGACAACTGCACCAGCAATGTCAGGCCCCAAAATCGAAAGCACTTTCGCTAATACCATGATGTAACAAAAACAGCTGCTGACTGTTGCAGAGTGGTTCATGGCTGTTAGCACGCAGCTTGTGTTGTCCACCTTGAATGATATTGGTTCTTTAATTAACATGCATAAATCAGCCTGACCCAACCGTCAACATCTGTTCAGTGCTACCCACCATCTCCCCTTCCCCGAAGCACGGCCCAAAAGGGTACCATTTACAGCAACCATACTACCAGAGCGCACAGAATGGGTTAATGCTTTATATGTCATGGTAAGCTGATGTGTTAATTTGTTAATTGAAAAACTGTCAAAGTGAGGAGGGCCCGATGCTTCCAACCAAGCACAATCATTCTCAAAGGCAAGCCCTGGCAAAGCATGGAAACTAAAGGCTCTCGTCACTGTGAACAAGGTTTTCAACTTGAGAGGTTCATCCAACACCACATGTAAGCCTTTTGCGGTGCCGTTTTCTCTTGGAGCAAAGGGGACTACTTTCCAGCACTAACAAAAGCGTTACAGGTTAGCCTTGCTCTGTAGAATGTAGTTATTGGAATGCATTTTTAGGGGAAGTATGTTATCTTTTATTTGAAATGTAGGTTCTAGGGTTTCGAAACCAAATACCGTCACTTACATGTATACCAATTGCTCAATAAGAACAGTGTACGTGTATGTATGGGACTAAGCATAGGAATGTTAGGGAGTGCTTTTGTTACTCGAGTATATCGCATGGAAAGATGCCTCAATGCACGCATGCACTGGTTTGCATGTACACATTGTGCCAAATACAAAAGAGCCAATTTCATTTGAATGTGCACAAAACCCACACAGCCTCTTTGCATTGGAGTATTGGCCCGGCCACTTTCTTTCTTGTTGATGAGTGCAACCGTTCACAGAAGCCTCGGCATCTTAGTTGCAGGTTTAGTGTTAACTATATCTTGACTATAGTTAACTATAACAACAGCGTTTTACTTTCAGTCACTCCTGCCTCTATCAGCCTAACAGGCTATTTCAAAATCAACTGGCTATTGCTAATAGTAGCACCTATCTACCTATGGGAAATGGCAGCATCCGTTGGCTAGTGGCTTAAGGCACACATAATATTGCTGGTCACAGCCTGATCATACACAAAGCAGCTGGTCTTGAAGTTGTAACACAGGGGACCAGACAAAGGGCTCAACCGCCTCAGTAGAAGTTTGCCCATACCAGCATCATTGTGTACTCAACACGTGCATGACTCCCCAAGGCGCATGACTCATGTGCCTGCTCAAGAGACTTGATGGCCAATGTTTTTACGATGTAAAGACCCCATGCCATTGGGTGTCAAGTCCTTCACTCCTCTATAGCAACAGCAGAGAAATGGTTTACCCTTTGGATGAACCAAGAGTGGAAAATGTCAATGTTCCTGCCACCCCCCCTATTGTTAATCATAAAAATTTCATGTTGGGGTTCTGAATTAGAGGGTTCAGCCTCAACACCTAACCCCCAGAGGATTTTCAGTGCATCTACTACGAATTCGGTGCAGTTGCCTTGGTAACCCGGCAATACTCATCACATTTTGTGATACTCCCCTGATGAGTATGCTGCATTAGGAATGAGGGATTTCAATTGCAAGGGGTATGCTATGTTGTTTGCAAATTGCAGAAGCCAAAAATTTTAAGTTCAGACACCTGCTGAGTTAGTAATTCAGAAACACCAGGTGTAGTTCCAATTTCAGCTATAATGTGCATGTATGTACACGTAAATGTAGATTCAAAGCATCTTGCTTTCTACACGTAGTATGCCGACAAAATATCACATCAATTAATGAGGCAGTGCTGTTTTCTGGAGCAACCCTTCGCTCACCAAGGGCAATAGTTGGGAAGGGCTTAATTTCATTATTTGACTGAATTGTTCTGTGGACTTACAACAGGAACGCTCTGCCCATGCACTGTCCTGCAGGGCCATGAAGTGGGTTTACTTCCAAAAACTGTTGCTGATAAACTTGTCAATATACATGTAATGCAGTTCATCATAGATTTTCTTTTTGAGTGAAAAGATGCTCTTTGATAAGCAAACAGGGCTCACAGGTGCCAAGCTGCTCTTTTATCATATCAAGTGTCCCTGCATTATGGCAAGTGGTCAGGAGTGGGTTTTTGGCAAGTGCTCCATTACCAGCACCGTGAATGGTACTGTCATGCAGATGGGCTTAAAGTTCAAGACCTGTCAACAAGCTACCATTGCTTCAGTTGGTGTTCTGAGCGCTGTAAATTTAACTAATGACATATTAGGCATATTGAGGTTTACATGGCATGCATTTGATTTGCTTATGATGATTATGACCATGCATGGTTGACAAAAGAAGGAATAAATTTCAAGGAATGGAGGAGAGGAATTCAATTGTAACTGCTGTGGACTTTGGCCGAGTCTAAAATTAAAATTCGATTAAAAAGACAAGACATTTTTCCCAGCATGTTTCAGTCTACTTTATAATTTCTCCAGCATGAAAGAAAATCACACCTGTGGCTATACAAGTTGAAAAGAGTGAAAAATGAACATTTAAGAGGAGGGTATCTGACATGCGTCTTGAACTGAATGGTTATATGTATTGGTTGAAATTGTGTTGTAAATAATGCTTGAAAAGAGAGACGCTTCACTGAATCAACAGGGAGGTGATTTACCATGATGGATTGCAATGTGCAAATGCACGTGAAATTCACAGCACATGCTCACACATGCCTGCACATTACTGATGGCCCTGTCTGGGGCGTGACTCAAAGACTGCTCCGTTACATCTCATGCGTAAAGTACCCCCTTGCTCATGTACCGACTCTCAGGTAACTGCTGCAGGGAACCGAGCACTGCACTGGGGACTTTAGGCCGAGCGGAATGACACCACCAGTACTTTAAATGCCTATTACACGTACAATGACTCAAAGCCTGTTTGTGAATGTGACGACGGTCGGTTGGCAACACCCTCACACTTCAGTCGAGGGAATTGAGACACTGCTCATCGCCATGACAACCATGGCAGGTGGTCCTCTACGGGACATACTATATTTGTTTTTGTTGCTATGGGGACATTTTGTTAAATGGAATGTAAGGTTTATCCAAATTAACATACATGTCTTTCAGAAAAACTAAATCAGCTACCGTATCATGAAACCCCCCCAAATTTATGAGTGCAAAAAAACCAAGGGGAACAAGCAATATGGAGACTTTCCTCTGAATTGGCATATCTGCTTACACCACAGAGCTATCTTATCAAAAGCCTTTTACATCAAGGCAGACACTGAAAGTCCTAAGGTTCATCTATTAATGAGTAATGAAGATACATGTACATGTATATCTACATGAAACCTATCAGCAGAGAGAGTATAACAGTCTCAAGTCCATCCATCAGACAATGTGAATGATTGCCCACGATTCTGTTTCAGGGAAAAGAGCCATCAGCCCTCAGCTGAACATACATCATCATTTCAGTTCAGTTCAGAGTAAGGACCATTACCCAATGTTGCAACAGTGTGAGGACCATTACCCAATGTTGCAACTCCCCAAACAGACTATTTTTTTCCCATTGGAAAGAGCTCCACATAGGATGAATGAGAACATTACAGATCAAGCCAAACCACTACCCTCCAAAGCTTTTAGCTGCCTTCTCTCCACCTGAAATGCAATAAACATAAGAAAGTCTGGAGAGCAACAGCTACGAGACACGACAACGAAGCTGATGACCATCATGGGATAGCTCATCAGGTCCAAAACAAGTGGAAATGCATGAGAGATACACGGCACGCTTCAGACACACAGACTCGTCTGAGACGGCGCAATGGACACCCATTAAAAGGCCCCAACAAGAACCATTTCGGGCTGTCCCGCCTCAAATATTAATGAACGCAGTTGCAGACAAACATGGCCCAGAGCCTGCAGAGCCTTTATTTTTACCTGGCGCGAGGCCAGAACGCTGAGGAAGAAACAAGACAAACAGGGAATCGATGCTACAAGTATTTGCCAGTGGCGTTGATTTCACCTGTTTGTCATGCCAACAAAGACACGGCCTATCTAGCCCGCTGAGACAGAAACTCAATCTTGGATATCACTCAAGGAACAGAACTTGTCCTGTTTGTCTAAAACTTGAGATGCTGTGTATCCAGCCTTCATTTTGTAAAATTAAGCAAATTTAAGAGTCCCAGGAACACTTTTTCTTTATTTTTCTATGCAATTAGTTTCTTCTATTAACTTCATCAAAACAA